ACCCAAAAAACCACACAGTTGACATTAAACAGACTATAATAATTTTTCTATACACTTAGCAATAAATTGTGAGGTTATGACTATAAATACAAAATAAATGTTGATTGGGTTAATTGTTATCCAAGTATATGCTCAATATTTCCAGATACACACTTTCACTCGAACTATTATTTAATTGTAAGCAGAGATGGATAGTGACTAGCAGTGGAATCCAGGACGCGCGTTTCGTCCCATTTGGGACTCGTCTTTTAAATGTATCCATCTCTGCTCACCATGCTTGTGAATTAAGGCTATATCGAGGCAATATGCACATATGCCAATTAGAGACTGACCAGTCGCAGTCCTAACACATCGATGGGAAGATTCAAACAAACAATACTAAATGAATTTATTATTTAATTGGTTGTAAATAATCTATATGTTCAATCTGATTAGTTGAATCCCATGGGAAATATTAAGCTGTGATTAGAGATGTCTTTTTATGAATTTAAAATCATCTCATAAAAAATGTTTTGGAAGCTGTTATGTTATGACTCATTTTCACATTGTTTGTTTGAATTTTCCCGTTGATGTTTAGTACTGCAATTGATCAGTTTCTTATTGACATATTCACATCCTATGTGGATTGCCCTAAATCACAAGCATTATAAGGAAAGGCGGATGGTGGATAGCGGTGAAATCCAGGATGCACCCTACTTCGTTCTATCTGGGATTCGTCATTTGGATGTACTTGTATCTCAGACCTGATGTTCACTCTAGGCTATCTGAAATCTAAGTGGATAACGTGATGGCGTTTGAAGCGAATGGTACTGGGTCCGAGTCTCAGAGTAAACATCAACTTTGGGATGCAGGTACATTTAACTAACGAGTCCTAAGTTGGATGGAATGGCGCTCGTCCTGGATTCCCCTGCTGGCCACCACCCATCTTTGCTGATAACTGTTACGTTAGTTTCTGATAAGAAAATTCCTTAATCTTAATTCACACCAGTACTCAGTGAATTAAAATTTCGGTATCAGTGTGATAAATCTATACTAATCAAAGTTAGAATATATTTTGGAGTATTTTAATTATTCGGTATTACATACGAAACATCCAGTAAATTATTCGATGTTGACCAATAAATTAATAAATAATAATAATAGTGGTCTATCGGTTAAGGGCTCTGGCTCGAGACTGGTAGGTCCTGGGTTCGAATCTCGCGAGTGCGTGTTCGTGGATGCGCATTGCTGAGGAATCCCATGATAGGACGAAACGGCCGTCCAGTGCTTCCAGGTTTTCCATGGTGGTCTAGCTTCAATTGACTCATGCTTTCAACTATGAAACATTAATATTACTGTTATTGTCAGTATTCAAGACAATTTTTTGCCATATCCAATAGAACGTTTACAATAATCTCAATAAGGTGATATCGAAGCAACCAGTTTGGAAAATTAAAAATTCGACGTGATGCAATCAAATATAATAAAGTAAAAACTACATTGTCGATTGATTTTTATTCAATGATGGCTATTTGTTGTTATTCGAGAGACCCAGAGAATCCCTCAAAAAGTGCTCAAAGAGGCCTTGAAAACACTAGGAAACTTATCCAGTCAGCATTCAATAGAAGTTTACCAGAAACGTGTAGAAAGTGAGATGTCACATTTCTGATTGAATGATTACCTATTCTGCTACTATATTTAGAAGGGTTCCAGAGATTTCCAAAGGCATAAGGTCATCTAAAATGCTATAAATATCCCAAATTTTCTGTACATAAACTAATCTTAGAATAAAGCGTTCTTTCCATATTTCGCGCTTTTTTTCTCGTGTTCAAATTGTCGTGTAGATTTAGCGTGCGGGCTACTAGAAGAGTTTAGGAAACTGAATCAAGTGTTCAGTTAGAAGATTTATCAGTTATCTGTGGATAATCCATACATGAATTAATATATGAATCACCCTATTTTAATCAGAACAACATCATGATGACAAGATAAACCCGTTTGTGCATAAAAACTTGATGTTAGATGTTAGCTTGAAATGAACTGAATGACATAATAGTTTTCATTCATTTAAGTGCATGAAACATAACCAGAAAATTCACTTAGTATTGTTTGTTTGAATCTTCCCATCGATGTGTTAGGACTGCAACTGGTCAGTCTCTAATTGGCATATGTGCATACTGTGCGTATCGCTGCCTCGATATAGCCTTAATTCACAAGCATGGTAAGCAAAGATGGATAGTGGCTAGCAGTTGAATTCAGGACGAGAAAATATTTAAACAAGTTTGTGTAAACTTCACGTTGACATATTATTCGTGATATCTGAATATTGTAAAGTAGTTATTGATGAATATTAATAAGTCACTTGAAGGTTTATGTAACTAGTTTTGAGTTAACAAATCACTAATTACAAAAGTAGCTATAATTTACTTGTTTGATTGGTATGTGTTATGACTCGTATAACAATCGTTATTGTATATGAAACGTGCAATGATACAGAAAATACGTACGAGCAGTCTTGATTGCTATTCGGTCCTTCCTAACTGCCTAGCCCAGCCAATTGAGTCCAGAACACAAATAACAGCCTCGGAAATATGAATCATTATTCACAAGCACACTGGGTTATATATACTAACCAAACAGACCCAATTATACCAAAAAATAGAAAAATAACATTTGTACAGTAATTGGCCAATGTGGCTGTAGCTAGGGGGAAAGTAATCAATAATAATAGTTCCAAGGTCAAAACAAAGGTTGTGATAAGAGGAACACGGAAACGATTAGGTCACTTATTTAACAACTATCCAATAGGGAATGGGCATATTGTATTTGTCCATAAATAGACATCAGATTTAGGTTACTCATTTAACAACTATCCAATAGGAATAGGCGTATTACATTTGTCCATAAATGGACATCAGATTTATGATTCATAATTCGCCAGGGGATACAACAGTATGTTAGTAAAATTATCTAATTAATCGATCCGTTTTTATAAACGGCTGTAGCTAGTTAGTTCACAGTAAACATATACATTAGCGAATACATATAATAAAATTGTATAGCTCATTAGGAGATATTTCTGGTCAGGTAGAGGGTTATTGTAATGAATGCACAAATGCATAGGAAGTTTGATGGATTTGTTAGCGACCATAATAGTTATTAAGTTCATTTAGTGTTGTTTGTTTGATTGCAGGTACATCCAGCTGACGAGTCCCGAATAGGACGAAACGCGCGTCCTGGATTCCACTGCTAGCCACTATCCATCTCTGCTTACTATAATAGTTATTGTTATTCTGATTAATAATTTGACAACATAACTTCTTGTCTAAACTTTATAGTATATGTTGTATTGTTTTGGAAGTATTTTGAACGGAATCAATTCTAAACATCTATGAACCTCATTGGAAAAAAATGAATTCTTTAATCCCCTCCCTATTCAGTGTATTTTGTGATAATATGTTCTGCTTATTAACATCAAACTCTAATTGTGTGTAGTTGGGATGGTATTCAAATCCACTTAATCGCTTTAATATTGAAAGTGAAGTGTAGCCACGTAGGATTTATGGATCTATGTAAAATAATGTCATTTTGTTTGTCGCAAAAATATTGCCTATCAGTGCTGTTTTTTCTTCATTCGAGCTCAGAAGAACATAGCATATCGTTTTATGAATACTTTAAGACTTGATGGGATCTATAAATCTTAAAACGAAGAAGTCCACCTATACCGGTTAGTTGCATTAAATGCGTTTATAAATGGTATACCAACAGCCTTTATATTTATAGATTGATAGACAGATGTAATCAGAAGGATTCTTAAAGTTTTTTCCGGTACACCAATCAGAATCTTCACTAGGTATGATAGCCCTGCTATAAGCAATGCTCTGTCTGGAAACTTTACAGGTACCCCCATACTTCGTGTAGATTTCGCATTATACCCAACGTTCTGCGGCGAGTAAGTGCAGCATATTATTTGAGCATTATCACTTAAGAAAGCATCAACTACTAAGCTTCAAATTGTTTCTGAAAGTGAAAAACGTTGAGCAGTAAAAATGTATTTAGTTCAAAGATGAGCTATACACCATAATCGTTCACGACTTAGATTTTCTTAGGAAATCCGTCTCGATTCAAACCACGAACACTCGATTTTTATCTTCACATGCGTAGCCCATTGCCTTATGGACAGACGAGTACTGATTTTAAATAGTACATCTGGAATCCAAGTATATGCAAATGACGAGTTCTATATAAGCAGAAAAACGAGTCTTGGATCCCACCTATAGTTACTACCTAGAATAGTGTCAAACAAGCGAAACTCAAATTTTACCTATGAATCACTCAGAGAAAATATGTAGATTTAATTCTACCAATAAATCTTTGTTGTATTTTAATTGAAACACCTACATGCAGACTGTTTACCTAATACACCGACCAGCTTATAAGCCTTAGCGTTTATTCACATTTCGATTTTATAATTATCAGAGGGTTTTTTGTGGAGATTTAGTATATTTCAAAGTTTTAAAGCGTGAGTCAAATGAAGCTAGACCACCATCGAAAACATGCAAACACTGGACGGCCGTTTCGTCCTATTATGGGACTCCTCAGCAGTGCGCATCCACGATCTCGCCTGGCGAGCGAGATTCGAACCCAGGACCTACCAGTCTCGAGACGAAGCCCTTAATCGATAGACCACTGAGCTGGCATCCAACGGTGTTAATGTCTAACTTCAACTGATCCACGAAGTTGAGCAACCATTCACCAATTGTCTTCAGTGAGTTCCTATCTCACAACGGACGTGGTTTTAAACTCCACTGGTCACTGCTTCTCACTAGAGCTCCTGGATATACTTCTCAAAGTCACGAAACGGCCGTCCAGTGTTTCCAGGTCTTCCATGGTGGTCTAGCTTCAATTGACTCACGCTTTAAAACTATGAAATTTCGATTTGTTTTTCAGTTAATCAGTATTTTTCCCATCCTTCAAGTATAATTCAGATGAATATATACATATTTTAAAAATCATTACTATTAATTTATATCATATAATTGTATATAAATATGTTTTCTGAAAGAAAAAAGAAAACTACTTCCTTGAAAACTTTACAGACGATATAGTTTCAGTTAAAGTTGGTGCCGGTTTCCATCCATCTAATTCACGTAATTCTTTACGTAATAATTTTAAATCTTGATTATATTCATGCTCAGTTGATTGTACGCTTTATAATTCAAAAAAAAAGAGAATTAATTCATCATAATCATACAATTATATACACTTAGTTACATGATTCTAAATGGTACATGGAATGTCATGCTATTATTTTACACAAAAATAAAGAAATTGATGAGCATACTATGGTGTATGCTACTTATGCCAATAGATATAAGTAGTATATAGTGCTAATTGGTAATGTAATGCCTAGCAGCAGATGTATGAATGATGTATTTAATGTATGAATTTTATATTTTACTAAGCTACTATGTGATTTCGCATTCTGCAATGTACTGAATTTTCCCCCAAATGAGCTCTCACTTACTAAAATACTAGTTTTCTTAAATCATCAATGTTACATAATTAAGCTAACATTATTTTTATAGGATAGAAATAAATAAAAAAAAGGTAGAGTATATTCAAGTACATCAACTTACATTGGACTAACTGGAAATCTCGGGACTTCGATTTGTTTTGAGATGTGTGTTATTAAACTGAAAGGAATATATAAACAGTAAATTGTTTTAAACATTAGATTTCTAGAGATTGTTTCAATTTGAAGACAATTTATATCATAAATTGACTTTATTCAAATAAACATGGTAAACAAGGAATCATTGGGAAGATGTTTCGTTTTGTTATAGGACTCCACAGTTTAGTTAAAAACCGCCCCCGAATGACCTGGTATGGCCGAGAGTGGAGAGGGCCCGCCCTCTCTCCAAATGCTCTCAAATGTCCACGTGTATACAACCACTGTCAGGGAAGTCCTAATCACTGCCTTCTCGCGGCATTACTGTTATTTACGAAATTCAGAGGACGAAAAGAGAATATCCGGCGCTTTAATCAGATTAGTGAACATGGATGATCCACCTAGGGGAGTTAGAAAACCCTCATTCCAAACCAGTGGTGTACATAGACTCCAGGATTCTAAAGAAACAAACGGCATATGAACCTGTTGTTGGTCACCGGCTACTATGGGAATGCATCTTCTTACATTGCTCCACTACCTTGTGGATTAGATCTTAAGGTCAAAGGCTGGGGGAGCGGATCTCCAGAAAACCACCTGCTTCGGTCTGGGCACCTGAAAACTATTCCAGCCCTCACGTAAATCGAATGATTTACGTTCCGCATATCTATTTGGTGCCTCCTTGTACCAATGTTTATGTGTTTAGATAAATAAACTGTTGGTGACCATAATGCTTAGGTCAGTTTATGAAAAAATTTTTCTTTATTTAGTGATCAATATTTGTTAATTTGCAGGTAATTGGAGTATATCCTTACTAGTTAGATTATTTGATTTGTTTCATATTATATATGACTTTGGCTATCAGTCCTTCCTCTTACAACACAACTTTTTAGAGCAATTTTATTCCGATTGAAGTGAGTTTTGTTTCCTGTGTTTAGTGAATGCAGTGCTATAACTGATCTATTCTTCAGTTTTATAAGGTCTTCTGAGAATTTTATAATAACTTTTAGTTATCTTTCCACCCCTGGATTTCACCATCTTGATGTTTTGCCTCTAAATGTTCACTTTTATAATCAGTACACTGAATTTCGTAGACAGTATTTCGTTATTCCTCATTTGTCGGAATTATAAACTAAGATAATTTTGGTCAAGAAGTTACGTAGTGGTCAGTTTACTTGAACAGTGGTTTCCGAATTGAACTGATATTAGTTGGGATACCATTAAAAACCAGAAAGTGCATGAATGATGTTTTGTTGTAGTATAGGAACGTCCTGTAGTGTAGATTTACAACTTCAGAAATAATACTTAGGACTATTAGGTATTCAGAGTTCTCCCAACTGCTAGACCATTTAGTTGGAGCCCAATGGTCTCTAGTTCCTTTTTTTGAATCATTTCCTGTGTTTTGCTTGATGCTATTACGAGTTTTCTTTTACTCGGTGAACGGAACGAACGTGAAAGACACAGTGACACGATAGGCTATTCTAATCAGTTGTCCCAGGTCCTGCTAACTGGACCAAGGAGTTTCGATGAGGCGTGGAGAATGTATTCTCCAAACACCCAGAAAATGCAAGGTCACTAAACACACAAATCAAGCCTATTTATACAATGTTAGAAAGGCTCTAGAGAGAACCGAAAAACAGCGTACTAAAATATCCGTCAACCAATGACAGTTAAGGATTTCCGAGTGGAAAATGTAAGCTGTAGGTCAACTAAGCGAATATCAAAAAGGTTTAATTTAACCATTAACATTTTTATGTAGATTATGAGTGAAATTAACTAAACGATGTAATATGAATTAGGTTCACCCATTTTTTTCTTATGATAGAATTCACACCATTTCATTGATAAACTTACCCGAATCGAACTTTTGGAACGGACGAATTAATTTTATAAAAATCTGGTGAGTATTCTACAGAACCATAACTTTTATCTCCTGGTTTCATGCTGTTATATTGTTCTATAGTATCCCCTAAGTATTCATTGAAAATTAAGAAGAAACAAGTAGCAATTTGTGTTCGAAAGCAGTGAGTAATATTACAAACAGCGATTCAATCTCGTTATTCATTTTCTGACCATCATTCCCATCCCTAATCGGTAATGCTTCATCTGATAAGCAATTTATACTGTGGTGAACACAAACATCAGTGGGGACAATCGTATATACTGTACACAAAATTACAGAACATCTTAGTAAAATCTGAGGACCAAACAGCAAACACTTAATTTGGAAAATATCAATCAGTCGTCTCAGACTTCACTGTTCCTTTATCTTCATACCAACTGCTTTCAGTTTCTGTTCTTCCCTTTTCGATCTTCTCAATCTTTTGCTGCCAGATATTCTATTCCTGACTCACGATATATACTACTTATGTCGATATAAGTAACACACACAATATCATGTTTAATAAGGATTATGTAAATAAACAACATTTTTGTTAGTGGTTAATAGTGGATTCCAGGACATACAACTCATCGTAATTAAGAGCTGTCGGTTAGATGAACCTATATTTACAACGAAACTTGGATTCAGTACTTATGGATTTAAACATCAGAACGTCATCCATCAGATGTTTACTCAACAAGTCCAAATGTAAACGGGTACTCATTATGTTCAGTCCTGAACATCAACTAAGGTAAAATACACCCGTTGGTGTTTATGTTCTATGAAATCCATATGGTTGAAATTAATGGGATGAGTTCTGTGAATAAACGCTCTTGGTCATTGCTCTCTTTCATTAACTGGCTGTACTGTTGTGAGACAACAGTCCCTCAAGAAATACCCTTCCACGATGTGGACAGCAGGTAAGTGATATCAGCCCTCAAACCCGTCACTGCACACGAGACCAAGTTGGTGACATTCAAATCCATCCTACACCTAATAACTCTCTTGTCTCCATGACTAACCATTCTCACAACTGAGCCATGTTGGTAGGTGTAGACTACCTGGTTGAGATTCGCGAGATGATAGCAATCGATGGTTAGAGACCTTGAATGACATGGCTCAAAATCGTTTGCGATGGCGAAGGTGCATCCACTCTTTGTGTTCTGCCAAATTATAATCTTCTGAATTCTTCATATCTCTATCTTTTTTCTCTTTCCAAATTTATTTCACTGTATTCTACTCCTTCAATAACATCTTCAAACCCTAATCTTTCACATTAATGCTTATACTCTTACTACTTCTACCACTATGGGATTTGAATCGACAACTTCATCTCTATGCTAATTTGGTATGACAACTCGAACTGACGTACGTACATACGTACGAGGTTCTACGTTGTGACTGACTGACTGTACTGTTGTAACAGAAAGCAGTTCATAATACGTGAACAATTATATTCCTGAAGAAAAATAAACTATCTATATTACGATTATATGAAGGTTTGAAATTGATAGTTCATTTTGAAAGATAAGATAATAACATCGTATAAAAAGAATAGGAAAAATATCACCTTAACAAATATGCAAGCAACTAGATAATGTGATATGTGCTACTGATGTTGTCAGATCAAAGAAATGAGAACGAAAACAAAGAATGAACTTTGGGAAAATGAAAGAATAGTGAAGACTGAGATGATTGACTGATATTTGCAAAAGGAACAGTCAATTTTGACATAATTGATTGATATTTTGTTAATTAAATATTTACTATATGATTTTCAGATTTTTACTCAGATGTTCTGTAATTCTGTATTGTCCCCACTTGTGTTTTAGTTCACTACAATAATTCTAAATGTATGGCGCAAATACATCACAACTCCTTCTTCTTATTGATTTATCAAAATCTTTAAAAGGGACTAACTGTTTTAAATTTTTCTGAAAAGAAGACCCCTTATGTCTTGCACTAAACAGTTAGATGAACTTGTTAATCTGAAGTGAAAAATTGCACCCGAAAAAGTAAAGCTTGATGTATATAAAACTTGCATCACTACACATACATTTCCCAAACATTTAAATAAGTCCTAATATTTTACGGCTTACGAAATGTCACATGGGAAAAAATGTAATAAAATGATAAATAGTAAGCAGAGATGGATAATGGCTAGCAGTGGAATCCAGGACGCGCGTTTCGTCCTATTTGGGACTCAACTATCTCTGCTTACCATGCTTGTGAATTTAGGCTATATCGGGAAAATACGCACAGTATGCATATATGCCAATTAGAGACTGACCAGTTGCAGTCCTAACACATCGATGGGAAGATTCAATCAAACAATACTAAATGAATTTAAAATGATAAATAAACTAACTGAACGTTATTTTCATGCATTATGTATGTTGTTACTTACACCTGTTACTCACAATGGAGCATAGGCCGCCGACCAGCTTAGATAATATACATGTATCATGTATATTATCTAATATTTCTCTATTATGTCATAATAAATTCATAAACTCCCTTGTCATAATGATCATATGCTCACTAGTGACTGGCTCTTTGAGGTAATTCCTGGAGTCCTAGTGAGAAGTCGTGGCCAGTGGAGCTAATCCATGTCAGGTAGAGACAGGTATCTACCTCAGTACATTGAAAGTTGGTTGCGCAATTTCGTGGATTGGTTGAGGTTAGACATTAACACCGTCGGATGCCAACTCAGTGGTCTATCGGTTAAGGGCTCTGGCTCGAGACTGGTAGGTCCTGGGTTCGAATCTCGCTCGCGAGTGCGGGATCGTGGATGCGCACTGCTGAGGAGTCCCACAATAGGACGAAACGGCCGTTCAGTGCTTCCAGGTTTCCTATGGTGGTCTAGCTTCAATTGACTCATGATCTTAATCATAACCTCTTTTTCTTCAGTAATTGTTAAAACAAAACATACCAGTAAACAAAAGCTGAACAAATCAATGATTGATGATATTGGTGGAAATTCATTTCAGTGTAACTTTGATAATTATGTTAAACTTTATCATTTATTGAAAATTTTGTATTTGCGAAAAAAACTCTATCAGTTTGAAAATCTATATGGTCAAGTTGGAACCGTCTTGTTTGGACTGCTTTAGATAAAGAAAATTGGTTAGAGGTGAAACTGGTTGATATTGTTTACCACTTTCACGGTTCTCAAATTAGATGTAGGAATATTTTGACTTCTAAACGGTGTGTTTCTTTAAAAGAACCTTCGAAGTAGATCAGATATTGTGATACCCAAACGTGATTATAAAATAAAGATGTTATCTACACTTGGTAATCAGAGTAAGTTTCCAGCAGACATCCCATCCAATATTAATGTTAGAAGATACAATGCAATACAGAGTAACTTCCAATCTAATGAAGGTCATTAAAATGAATATCTTAAATAATGAGGGATTTAATCTGCTAAAACCTACTGGTTCTGTTTTCTTGAATTTATGTGGACTGTTTAAAATTCATAAACCTACTAATCCATTACTACCAATATTATTTATGTGTAGTTCACCTAACTATGAACTAGTAAAATGGTTAGTAAAATTGCTAAACCCAATCCGTAATAAACTGTGTAAGTTTTCCTTAAAACATGCATTTCGAATAACTGATCTTCTTGAAGACATTAATATTAAGGAATCAGAGTTCGACTTCGTACAGCTTCTATTAATTTCAGGTACCGCTGCACTTAAAGTGGTCCATTATATATACTCCTCATTTTGGAAGCGTTTTCATTCACATGATGTGATCAATTTCAGGCATAGATCATTCTTCCCAGACAAATACCCCAGGTAAATAATGTCTTTATATAAATGAATTAAATGCAGGAAATTATGATAAACTCAGAAGTCATATAGTTTTAATAGATGGATATTGTGAGTATATACTGGATGAAGATAATGAGTTGTGGTAGTATTTCTCGCAGCGTCGGGTCAAAAGAACTTTATGAATCGTTATCCTTATGTTGTTCGTTTGGATGAAACCTATAAAGTCGACAACAAAAACGCAATTTTTTGTCAAATTGTTCTACTTGGTACGAATTCAATTACAGTATCAATTTTCGTGTCATTATCCGTCGGTAAACATTTGCATTGATAACTCAGTGTCTGTAACTCTTCAGACGATTAACATGGAATGGAAGCCTAGTAGGAATCACAACAGATGGTTTGCCTGTCATCGCTATTGAAGTCATACAAATGTATCACAACTCAAATCACTCTCTATGTCGAGTGCACATAATACGTAATGTATGTTATTCATTGACTAGTAGTCAACTGTAAATTATATTAAATAGGATACGATCTGAAGTTTTTCAAATGTTTTTCTGTTAAATCTACACAAAAAGTCGATAACTAAGCGGTATTTTTCAAGACCAGTTTGTATCACAGTTTTAAAATATACTTGACAACTATAGATGTGGATTTATCCTTCCACAGATATATTGACGATCAGGTAATACAGAACCAGAACACCTGGACGATGAAAGCCCCACGACCAAACCATCCAACTCAGAGAACAAAACTCCATCAAAATCATCCACCTGAGCTACAAATCTTCTCCACCATCTCAGAATCTGTCTATTTTTATCTACCATCTGGAGGTGAATGTAATGGTATGGTTTTAAGATGGAGACTAAGAGCGGAAACCTATTATGCTGCAAGACTGGATGTGATTGAAAGGAGTAAAACGATAATTCCAAATAGACCTGGACAAGGCACCAACGAATAAATCACATCTCGTTGAGTTTATCAATTTACATGTTTTGTGGAGACACATACATTGGAAGGAGTAATCGAACAATGTAATCTAGAGTTATGGAACGTGTGCCTAGATGGCTTCGAAATCAGTTAATGTCAAGTGTTCTGACGAATATGGGAAGTAGCAAACTATGTTCATCCTTAGAAAAGCACACAATTGAAACGGGGCACAGAACTGACATCGAAATGTTGTATAGAAATTGTGAAGGAGGAATTCTTAGATTTAAATAAGCCTTCAGTATTAGTAAATTTAAACCTCTCTTATGTTTGTAAAAACAGTTTGTTGTAATTGTGAATTTACCCTGGCAATCCTAAGGTAATTTTATGGCCCGGTGATAATGTCACAATTTCGTATTCATTCTATACGATGTTAGTTTTTTCTCTCTCTTTTATTTACAATTATTAATTTGTTGAATTGGACCTTCATTTAAATGACTTTCATTAATTTTCATATAATTGTTCTGATGCTATCCAAAGAAGGACAAAATGCACTTATAGAATGAGGATCTCATGGATCCAGGATCATCAAAGCATCCTTCAATACTAGGAAGGAGGGAATTTCAATGAATACTATCCAATGTTATACATCTTCCAATGATAGGAACGACGACAATAAAGATCAGCTCGATGAGAGTCTGTAATCAATCATAGCGAAGTGCCTGAGAAACCTTCTCACCATCCTGATGGGATACCTAAACGCCAAAGTCAGAATGAACAATGCCGGATGTTAATATTTCACGAGACGTCATGGACGTGTACAGGAAAACGAAAATGGGTAGAGATTTGTAAATATATGTGCATTCAAGAAATTGGTTATAGACGGTACAATATTTCCACAGAAACGCATATACAAAGCTACATGGGTCTCATCGGACTACACCTCGGAGAACCAAATAGATCATATTTGTATGAATAATGAATTCAGAAGGTCAATGGAAGACGTGAGAACCAGAAGGGAAGCTGACATTATGGATAAGAGGACCTTATGGAATCACTTTCGACATTATAGAGTACCTAAGAAAATCGTCGACATCATGCGAATATATACGACGTACTACACTACAAAGTGGTGCATGGAGGACAGCTGGCAGACGCACCAGCAACAACCTACTGTGAGAGAGAACAAACTAATTTTCAGCTAAGGAGGAATTTAGGAGACAGAAGATCATCAGACTGCATCATAAGGCGAGCACTAGCTTGGAATCTTGAGTGAAAACGGAAAAGAGGAAGACCGAAGAACACATTGTATCGGGAATTGGGAGCAGAAATGAAAAGGATGAATAATAACTGAGAACAACTTGAAACGATTGCCTAGCAAAGGGTTGGATAGAGAATGCTAGTATGTGGCCTGCGCTCATACACGAGGGATAACAGGTGTAAGTAAGTAAGTAAATAAATAAGTAATTTTCATATAAAATGACTTGATAAGTGTACATATGTGACTAGATTGTTCGAAATATATAGAGCAAATAAATCACATCATAAATCAGATCAACTCCATGTTCTCATTGTTCTTACGAAATTTATAAAAGGTAGTCATTGTTTTAAAATTCATTTTTACTTGAAGGAAATACTGTCGGTGTTACACAGGACGACAAAATAACTTTTACTCATATGACAAAGCACTACTAAAACCTACTCACTAGAAACACAAATATTCTCCTTCATTAAAAAAAAAACACATATGCAAGAATTCATACAATTTAAATGTGTATAAGATTAAATCTTACTTCGCCTTTTATGCGTGAATCCATCATGTAAAATATATTCTGATGTACAATAAATACTACGTTGATGTATTCCATCGAATAAACATTTCTTTCCAGTAGTATATCCATTAGTATAGATTGACCATTCTGGACTCATTCCATGACATTTTAATTCTGTAAATAATAGTTTAATTCCTACATTGATTACTTGGATATGTTCTTAAATGACTTGAATGTTCTGGCCAGATATTTTCATCTCTTCTATCTTCATCTTTATATGCTTCAATATAACGCAATTTTGATGACCAGTCTAATCCATAACTATAGTCAATATCATAATTGATTTAAAGAAAATGATTATACTCTGAATAAATTGGATTTAATGCTAAATTATGTGGTCTCCAATTTAAATCATCTTTTATACAGTAACCATGTGGTATAATTCGTTTATATGGGAAATATTTAATCTCTTCTATACTACATTTATTTGAATCAAGAAAGTGTCGTTTCCCTGGGACTAAATAAATTACTGTTGTTTGTTAAAATGAGATTATTTACATGGTGACATTGATGAAATATGATGGCACTCTAAATTGTTAGTTAAATATTTGAAATATTAAAAAAAAACAACAGATAATTTAGGTCGTATCCAATAGCAACTTGACCAATAGCAAGCTTAACCATTCAAACAAAAGAAAAGTAAATAATTGAATGATTGATAGCAGCTCACGCACAATTGAGTTTGTTCATATCTAATTTGGTTAAGCCCTTTTGTTAACTTGTCATTCGTAAAATAACAATCTATCTATACTATTGTACCTTTATTATGTACGCTTGAGCATTACTTACTGCCTACGCATATATTTATTTTGCCAGCTTTACTATTAATCGCTTAATTGATTCGATGATTCATTCATTTCACTATGTACATCTTAATCCTGTTCACTGACTCGATCACTCACTCAACTCGCACGCTCACTCGCTTGCTTTACGGAACTACTCTTTCATGCTTGCTTAACGTGCCTGTAATTTTGGATATCTGTGTGTGGTACAATAATAAACGCAATCAACACTTCGTATTCACCTTCTGATTGATATACCGTTGGAGTATTATCGAGTAACGGTTATCAGGATGAACAAATTACGAAGTTTAAAGATAATTTCGAATATCGATCACCACAAATTAAATACGGCCAGACCCCTTGAAAAACTAAGTAGTGCAATAACAACAAGATTTGCAGAATAAAATGAATTCATTAATCTATTTTACAGTTTCTCATCAGCTGCATACAACCTAAATCTACAGTTATTAACTATAGGTTATTAACAAATTTTTAACATACTTTAGATTGAGAAGTTTAGATAAAAGTTAGTTACTTACTTACGCCTGCTACCTCTTGTGGAGGAACATAGGCTGCCTATAGCTCTTCTAAAGTTACTGTTGGTCCCAAACCCTGGTAAAGAATGAGAATTGAGAGTGGGGTCAGCAGCCCCATCCCGTAGAAAACAACCTTTCTAAAACCAAGATGAAGTAATAGAGAGATTATAATACTAGATTACGTAACACGAATAATAACAATAGATTTAGTGAATATAATGAGGCGATTAAAATTGATTAAAATGCTTTTAGTTACAATAATGTACCTTTAACCAAGACGATATGTTATATATGTGAGTATATTGATTCTAACAACATAGATCTAGGTTTTCCGATTGAATACTTGAAAAACTTTTGTTACGTTGTACCTTTAATGTCCAGTTCAGTTTCAACAATCTAATATATAGACAAAAAGATGGGATCGCGATGTGGTCACCGTTGGGTCCAATTTTAGTAGACTGTTTTATGGCAAAACTAGAAAACGATAAAATCAGTTCAATGATTAATCGATTTCACCTAAAAGTAAGATACATGGACGACACATTTGTCGTTTGTAACAATAATATTGAATTAGAAGATATCTCACACACCTTCAACTCATGCCGCCCTTCCATACCCTTCACTTTAGAAAGTGAGCGAGACCAATCAGTCACTTTTCTCGATGTACGTCTGATGTGGAGTAATGGTTCCTAAAAAAGATCCACCTATAGAAAACGAATATTGAATGGTCAGCTGACCAACTTCTATAGCTGGGTTCCTTTAAGTAGAGAGAGAAATCTCATCCACTCTTTATATCATCGATATGCAGTACGGAATGAGTTGATGAAAAACTCGCAGTCCTCAGGAAAACCTTGACGGAAAATGGCTATTCAGACCGTTTCATAGAGAAGAATATGAATAAAAGTAGGTATAACAAGAAATCTAGTTGTTCCGTCTCAAAGAAAAACCTCTATATAAGTCTGAAATTTAAAGGTGATAGAACATCTTTATATTTTACTTTTATATATAAATGTTCTTAACAGGTATATGTGTGACCAGATTGTTCGAAATGTATTGCGCTAATATCTCATCATATAGTTCTGATAATCTTCGTCTTCTTATTACACTATCGAAATTTATCAAAGGGATTAACTCCTTTAATCAAAAATCGTTTAACGACATCGATTAAAAGAATATTTAATGCAACAAAACTGCGAATAACCTTCACTAGTAGGAACTTATTTTCTGCATCTATAAAAGATAAGCTTCCGCATCTGGTCGCCTCCATGTGCATCTACAAGTTCACCTGCTCTTGTGGAGCAAGGTACACTGGCCGTAACCAGCACTCGCTTTCAACTCGGATACGTGAACATGTCCGAGTTTAGTTCTACAAGGGTGAAAGGAAAGCAGTCAGGAGTTCTATATTTGAACATCTAATCGACTAAAATCATCCTATGGATCCACAGTTTGATTTTAAGGTTGTTTATATGATTCGTTCAAATCTACCTAGATTTCTCCGTACCCAACTCCTAAAAATAGTCGAAGCCTTTTATCATCTGTGAACTCAAACCAGAACTACGCATACAAAAGAAGTACGTCCTGTCGTTATCGTTACCTTGGCCTTAATTTATATAATGATTATCACTATTGCTTTACTTATGTCTCAGTTTATTCATAAGTGCTCATCATATCACTTTACTTTTATACCTCTTTGACCTTTAATGACCTTTAGTTATTGTAAGTAAAACCATTTTACAAAGTTGAAATCATGAGTCAATTGAGGCTAGACCACCATCGAAAACCTGGAAGCACTGGACGGCCGTTTCGTCCTATTATGGGACTCCTCAGCAGTGCGCACCCACGAATCCGCTCTCACGAGATTCGAACCAAGGACCTACCAGTTTCGAGCCGAAGCCCTTAACCGATAGACCCCTTATAAAACCATTTTAATCAATTTTAATCGCTTCATTATATTCACTAAATATATTGTTATTATTCCTGTTACGTAATCTAGTATCATAATCTCTCTATTACGTCATCTTGTTTATTAGTGTTCACATTTCCTGACGGAATTAGTACTTTAACAAAAAATTTTCGTTGAAAAGGGATCCCTTCGTTGAACTTCGTGTTTTTAAGAGATAATTGTCAGGTGATGAAAGAAAGAGAAAATAAAACGTTAAGAACAGAGATGAGAAATCTTGGAAATTAATATAATTTTCTACCCTATTGTATTACATTGACTCGGAGCCTATATCTAAACGAAAGTCCTAATAAAAATTTATAAAGGTAGGCGTCCAGCCAACATATCAGGGAAAGGCTATTCACACTTTCTTTCTGTATATATATTGGCCAGGTCAGAAACCTTTGATAGGGATTCTCCTTACAAAATGGAATAAAACCAGTGTTTTTTTAAATTTCGAAAATATATAGTCTCGCTTCAATTGACTCATGAATTCAACCATGAAATTACTAAAATATCCACAAAACCCCCCTTCTGATAATAATCATCATACGTTCACTATTCACTGGCTTCAAGAGGTATTTTCTGGAGTTCTAGTAAGAAGCAGTGACCAGTGGAGTTCAGCCAGGTTTGTTGTGACAGTTACTCACTGAAGACAAATGTTGGATATGTAACTCAATTTTGTGGATCGGTTGAAGTTAGACATTAACTCTGTTGGATGCCATCTCAATGGTCTAGAGGTTAAGCGCTCGCGTGCAAGACTGATAAGTCCTGGGTTCGAATCTCGCGCGGCGGAATCGTGGATGCACACTGCTGAGGAGTCCCAAAATAAGACGAAGTCCAGTGCTTCCAGATTTTCCATTGTGGTCTAGCTTCAACTGACACATGATCTCAACTATTAAAATTACTGCAGTATCCGCAAAAAAATCTCTTATATATATATAACAGTTTACCTTTGCAAACTATTGACACTATTACCTAACTTTGATCACACGTCATATCAGCGGAAGTTTTGGCCTGTTTTAAAAACCGTACAAAGAAATTGCACACCAAATCAGCTGATGTTCAGTTTCAACTATCTAGTTTAACTTTCATTAACTCTTAGCAATTATTCTAGACCACCCTGAATTGTTTTTACTAAGCACAAATGAAATACTTTAGAGTGAATAATCATTATTCAAGAGTTCCTAATGATTGTTTCTCAAAAGAATCAAGCTTTTTTAAAAATACACATTCATCCTTCCGTTGTTTAGTCATTAGTTGGTGCCACAGAAAGACTTCAATTATCTACTGTCTGAAAAAAATTGGTATGGTTGAATAAAAGGGAATATAGACAGTAAGTTATGCGAACCTGAAATCGTGAGTTATATCAAGTATCATTGCTGCTTCAAGTACAAGAAAGTACTCGAAATAATTGAAATTGATAGCTGTCATCTCAATTACCAAAGTTGTTTTGAAAAACCAGATTTTAGTAAATGACTCACATGTATACAATATGGCAAGAATAATAGAAAAATATAATAACATTAATAAGGTGATACTATTGAAGGCGAAGTCAAACTATTCAATAAAGCATTGATGGAAAATGACTATACTCTGAAATTCTTAAATCGATGTAAAGGTTGTAGTATGGTAAGACCTACTCCCATTCTTGTATCAAAAAAGCCTGTCTATATCATCCAACCATTCAGAAGTGAGTCAAATAGCCTTATGTTAAAATAAAGGCCCAATACAATTGTTAGTGAAATGTGATATGTGGTGAAGGTCTGTAGTGACCTACTTTTCTCGACGACAACGCGAAAGAATTATTATTTTAACCAATTGTACCAGTGATTGTTTTACTGTACTGTATCAAAATCACTTTTCGTTCCGTTGACCATCTTGTTCGTATGAACTTTCTTACGCTCTGACCTTTTGCCTATGCTCTTTGGCACGTTTCGGTATTCTTTCGATACCACGAGATCGCCAATAAATATATTTTATCTGGAACAATAACAGCCTTCTAGTTTTTTGCCTACTGAGGGATCCAAGTCGATATCTGGCGCGTAATCTTATTGTAGTGGTGATCATAGTCAATCGCGACTCCATGCCATCTACAGGTCATTTAAAGACTATGGTCCATGGGTTATCAAAAATACAAACAACTTGCAAACAACTGCGTAATATCCGACAGTCTTTATTGATGTTCACATGTGGCTGACCTCACGTATATAGGGAGAAGTAATGATGATTTGCAATTTAAGGTTTCTGAACATGTATCAAAATAAATGCAGTTACAAATAAGAACAAATGAACCAATGGAGGAAGATAATAATTATCAATCTTCTTCCACTGCTAAACACAGTTGAAAACAAGTCAAAAAATTGATCTTAACCCATCTTTTGTGGTTATGTTTGAAAGTTGTCTAGTGTGAAGTGTGTCGAAGCCTTAGCAATATAGAGATTCGGAACTCCTACAGCTGTTCAAAAACAATTTGTACTTTCCCTGCCTTGCTAATATCGATGTATTGGTCAGAGTAGAGTTAATTACATTTTTTTCTTTATTATTTGTATTTTTCTTTTATTGTCCTTTTTGTCTAGCTGAAATTTATTGTTGAGACATGCATACTTTATTGAGTAAATGTGTTCAGATTGTTCGAAATGTATTAAATGATACTATTGTCCAAGTGAGTGAGATTCCTGACCACTGGCTGTAAATAATCCATTGTTGTGATCTGATTAGTTGGAATCCAACTCATCTAAACTTACTTACTTACGCCTGTTACCCCTCTTGAAAGAGCATAGACCGCCCACCAACGCTCTCCATACAACTCTGTCCTAGGCAATCCTTTTCAGCTCATTCTAGTTGCTGTTCATCCTTTTGGCGTTTGCTTCCGATTCCTACCTCAGTAGGTTTCTTGGTTTTCATCTTTCTCTTTTCCCTTCAGGATTTCAAGTTAACGCTTGCCTCGTGATGCAGTCTGATGATTCCCACAATATATGTCCTATCTACATCCGATGTCGCTTCCATATTCTCACTTCAGCTGGAACATGTTTTGTTCTCTCTCATAGTACGTTGTTCCTGATGGTATTCAGTCAACGGATATTGAGTATCTTGTGTAGATCATTGTTTATAAATACTTGTACATTTTTGATGATGGTTATAATAGTTATCCAAGTTTCAGCTCTACACAGTAGAAATGTCTTGACGTTCGTATTGAAGATTCTCACTTTGAAATTAGTTGAGAGTTGTTTTGAATTCCATATGTTCTTCGATTGTAGAAATATGGTCTTTGATTTGCGAATCCTCTACATTACGTCTGTATCAGATCCTCCACGTTCACCGATGATGCGTCTCAGATAAGTGTATCTTTCCACATAATCCAGAATTTCTCCATCAAGTGCGATTGGGTTTATGTTCTCTGTGTTGTGCTTGAGGATCTTGCTTTTTCCCTTGTGTATGTTGAGGTCTGCTGCTGCAGAAGCTGTCTATACTTGTCTGTATTTGTTCGTGAGTATGGGATAGAAGAGCTATGTCACCTGCGAGTCCAAGTCATCCAATTGTTTCAAAGCTAACTGTAAGACTGATATATGAAACTGAAATCTCTGAAATAAGCTGACTTCGGGCACCTTCAGATTCTACGTCAGCAAATTTCTTCATTCGTGGGTTTTTGTAATAGCTTTTGGCGTTGCATATATAATTGAGTACTTAAAGCGACCCTTCAGGAAACAATATTATGAAACTGATCAACTTACGCCCATCAAATAGGATTGACAGTTCACATAGTCAGTGCTGGATAAATTATTTACGTTCAGAGTTTGGAGAGAAGGTAAAAACCGAAAGACATTTATTTTTCTATCACTTTAAAAAATAATAACCAATACCTTATTTGTTCGGTAGTATAGATCTTTCCATTGATGTTTGGGACCGGAATCGATCAATCTATTTAGACGTATGTGCATTCTGTGAGCATTGCCTGAGTATTGCTAGTAAATCATAAGTATTATAAGTAGAGTTGAATGATGGCTAGCAGTCGAATTCAGGATGAGAGTTTCGTCTTCTTTGAGACTCTTCAGTTGGATGTGCTAACAAAATTAATCATTTGATTGAACAAAGAGGGATTATATATATAATGTCATAATCAGCTGTTGCGATTCTAGATTTTCTTACTTCATTGCTAAGTTTATATAATCTCGGTTTAATTTATCATGAAATATAATTCAATACATAATGTGAACCATCTTTTCTTATAATGCTTGTGAATTAAGGCTTTATCGAGGCAATACGCACAGGATGTACATACGCCAATAGGAGACTAACCAATTGCAGTCCTAAACATCAATAGGAAGATTCAACCAAACAATACCAAGTGATTTTAAACTTCATCCCATTGCACAATCAAGTGGCTATCAGGACCTAGTAGCTAAGTGGACAACACGAAGACGTTTGAGTTGAACGGTACTGCGTTCGAGTCTCAAAGTGAACATCAAATCTGAGATGCAGGTACATCCAGACGGCGAGTCCGAAATGGGACGAAACGAGCCTTGTCCTGGATTCCACTGCTAGCCTCTATTCATCTATGCTCATAATTTGAACAATTGTTAAAGTCTCTTTCGATTTGATCATGTCATAAACTCACACAGAATTAATTACTGAAAATAGCTAACACTATAATATTGAAAATTTAAATTCATTAATTAATCCATTTATTGTATATCAGGTGATTAGATGAATGAAGAAAGAACAATAGTCATGATATTTTGAAACTTTTACTAGAGACTGAATATACAATGAATTAATTTTGTATATCTTAATAAAAGTATGAATAAGGTTAATCAATTTATGGTTTGTTTCCTCATGGACAGTTCCTGGTAGATGTCTATTATGTATATAAAAACCCTTGTCAATCTTAATTTGAAGCTCATGTTATAGTGATTTTCTCAGAATGCAACTGCTGTATCCAAGATATTTCTTATTCTCAGATTTTCTGAGATCGAATTCGAAGTCCATTAACTGAAGGATTATAGACTATGAAAAATGTTTTAAATAAGAGTTTTCTTAAAGACTGTCAAATCTGAAGTCAGATCTGATAACAACTGGAGACTATCTGAAGCTAAATGACACTAGATACATTTGTATCTTCCATGTATCGAAACCTTAAATTTATTTGTCCTTATGTGTTTGTATTTAGGGGGAGGTTGTATGAAAATTGTTCCAGTCCCTCAAATATTCCTAAAGAGATTCAGTTATTGTTAGTCAATGGTCAAAGTGAAGTCATGTTTGACGATATAACGGAGATTTCGCTTTTGTCTTGTACATGTTATTTTACTAGAGATTACCGATTATTATATCAGCATAAATTGAATAAACAGTATGATTACGGACAGAAAACTGTACAAGTGACGTCTGCAAATCAAGATATCACAAATAGCTCATTGATTAATCCCGTTGCTCAACATTAAATAAATGATTTCAAGAATGATTATAATTTTTTTAGCTTACAAGATGAAATAATGGAGCAGCTTTAACTCCAATAAACACTCATAACGGTTATCCAGTCTTACAAAAATGACATTTTCGTATCAATTTCCAAATGACTTTTCAATTTTACAGGTAATCTATTATATCAGCTCATCTAATCCCACTGTACGGTTTATACTAAGATGGTGGTTGGAAGTAATCAACAGGGTTTCCCACATTCTAACTAGAAATTGAGTCCAGGACTTTCAGGTCTCGAGTAAAGGGCTTTACCGCAAGATAAAGTGTTTCACATTCACTTGTACACATTTCTAAACTCAATATGGCACGAAAATGGTTCAACATTGGTGACTTCATTTTTAAAATATCTAAACTTCACTAGTCAAGAACCGTTACCAGAACTAAAAAAATATCACTCTCAACTGTTTCCATGGTCAGTAACAGATGTGCGTTTGGTCCTTGGGACAATAGTGGAGATGTTTAGTTAAACAACTTCTAAATGTTAATACATAAAAAGTTAGATATATTTATTAGTGAAAGTTTTAAAGAGGTCATTTACTGAATGAACATTGAGTTTGTTTACAAAATAATAAGTCAATTGAAATACTACTTTCACATATGTAAATTTAAAAATGACTACGTTTTACGAAGCTACTTAATTAGAAATAAGTAGACAGATTGTTTTCACTCTATAGCCCATAGATTAAGATGTAATGATATAATGAACAAACCATAAAAATGAAATCATTAATGAAAAATTTAAAAATTGTGCTAAAAATCGATATTTTAGTAATCTGTTTCTTAAATCTACTCGCTTGTTTAAATGAGGAAAGGGAACATTTTCAGGAATAGGGATATTTAAAAATTCACATAACGGGGTCCATCCATCTTTAGGATCAAAAATTAATAAACGATCTTTTGGAACATAATCAATAATCTCTTGGTTCCATTTAATAAAGGCATCTCTTAATTCATCATCTGTCATTTGATCATAATTTGGACCAAACGCCTTAGTGTACATGTTATCATGTAATATTGGTAAACTTTTAAGTCCACGTAATCGGTAAATAATATTCTCAGTAAATGTGGTATGTTTAGTCATAACCATATCGGAAGCAGTTGTTGCTCGACAACTTGAAACCCATGAATCGGCATCACGAACTGTTAAAATTACCTACAAAAAAAAATCAGCAAAACATTCCTTCAATATACAGATATCTTTCTGGTTGAACACAATAAGCGATGGCTTACAATTATTGTTATAAATAACAATCTCTCTGTCTAACTACTGAACAAAATTAATCAATAATGTAGGATAATTGACCAGTTAAACAAAAATCAGGAGGATCCTTAACAGATATTCATAAGTATGGGGGTTACAACTTGATCTCTATTAATCTCAAGTTTTATAAAATATGGATAGAATAATAAATAAACAATAATTTTTAGTAAGCAGAGATGGATAGTGGCTAGCAGTGGAATCTAGTTTGACGTGAGTTTCGTCCTATTTGAGACTCGTTAGCTAGATGTACCTGCATCTCTGGGACTCGAACCCAGTACCCTCGCTTCAAACGCCATTGCATTATCCACTCGGCCACTGAGTCCTGATAGCCACTTGCTTTTTAGTTATATTAAATCAATACATCACCACTAAACAAACTGTTCTTTTTATTTATTAAGGTCAAATAATCAATATAGTAGGTGATAAATTTTGTTTTCTATTAAAAGTATTTGGCAAACAGAATGGTTTATATAATTGAATTAATATCAGTTGAATTTTTCATTTAATGAATAATCTATATTAATGTACTTGATTGAATAGAAGATTTTCATATCTTACAATGAGTATTTAACATTTAAACAGATCTTTGGAGTTTATTTATGCACATTTGTTAATTACAATTAATTTGATCATGTATCCCAATGATAACTGTTTCATTTTCAACCTAATTGAACTCATGGTAGGCAGAGATGGATAGTGGCTAGCAGTGGAATCCAGGACGCGCGTTTCATCCTATTTGGGACTAGTCACCCGGATGTACCTGCATCTCATAGTTGATGTTCACTCTGGTACTCGAACCTAGTACCCTCGCTTCAAACGCCATCGCATTATCTACTCGGCCACTGAGTCCTGATAGCCACTTATTTTAGTTTAGTCTACTGAAATTGTAATACAAATTTAGAATCAAACAAACAATACTGAATGAACCTAATTGAACTCAGTTTATTAGAAACATAATCATGTGTAAAGTGGCTTTTAGTATTTAGGCACTTTATCAAACATGTCTAGTTGCATCATGAACTAAATGTAGTTCACTCAATGATTGATTCAGACATTTGGAAAGTTAATAATCGGTTTGTCTTCGCACGGGCAAAAGTGATGAGAGTCAGATCTCCATCTCTAAATGCTCTTAAATGTCCACGTATATACAATCACTGTCAGAGAAGTTCTACTCACTGCCTTCTCGCGGCATAACTGTTGTTTACGAAATTCAGAGGACGAAAAGAGAATGTTCAGCGCTTTAATCAGATTAGTGAATATGGATGATCCACCTAGGTGAGTTAGAAAACCCTCTTTTCAAACCAATGGTGCACATAGGCTCCAGGATTTTAAAGAAACAAACGGCATATGAACCTGTTGTTGGTCACCGGCTACTATGGAAATGCATCTCCTTACATCGCTCCACTACCTTATGGATTAGACCTTAAGGTCAAAGGCTGGGGGAGTGGATCTCTAAAAAACCATCTGCTTCGGTCTGAGCACCTGGAAACTATTCCAGCCCTCACGTAAGTCGAATGATTTACGTTCCGCATATCTATTTGGTGTCTACTTGTACCAATGTTTATGTATTTAAATAATAATAATAACTTACTTACAGCGTTTTATGGGAGAGGACAATCCAGCTTCCAGCTGAAGAGGAAATTAGGAAAAGACGTTGGAAGTGGATCGGACATACATTAAGGAAATCACAAATGTACATCACGACTCAATCCCTAACTTGGAATTCGGAAGGAAAGTGGAAAAGAGGAAGGTCAAAGGACACACTACGCCGGGAAATAGAAGCAGATATGAAAAGGATGAATAGCAACTGCAAAGTACTGGAAAGAAAGGCTCAGCACAGAGTTGAATGGAGAATACTGGTGAGCAGCCTATGCTCCTCGACGAGGGGTAACAGGCGTAAGTAAGTAAGTAAGTATTAATGTAATAGCTTTGTGAAGACTATTGAATTTTTCAGTTTACATTATATATTGACCTAAGTTAGACTATTATTAAAAGCCAAGAAGCATAGAACAACTGTTTCACCATAGTATAGGACTTTAAGATACTACTGCACAACAACAACAACAACAACAACCACATTATGGATAAAATTAAAAATCTTCAGATCATAAAAAGAGAAAATTGAGTATAATTACCTTGGCATTTGGATAAATCTTCATTAATTCTTTATAAAATACACATGTTGGATAATCAACAGCAAATCTGCATTCATTAAAAATATCATTCCAATAAATTTTTTCAATATTAATAAAATTCTTATTCATATTAAATAGATTTAACCATTTTTGAATATGAGATTCTTGATAATGATAGATTATATCATACATATGATAACATGATTGATTATATAATAATTGTAGAGCAAATTTTAAACTAGTTGTACCAGTTCTCATTTGACCAGCTCCAATAATAAATAAATCATTTGATATAGATGATGATGATGCTGTTGCTGCCGCTGCTGCTGCTGATGATGATGATGATGATGATGCTGTTGCTGCCGCTGCTGCTGCTGCTGCTGATGATGATGATGATGATGATGATAATAAGGTAAACGATTGTAATAATAATGTTTTTGGTGTTTCTATCATTGTCAATAATAGTTTGTTGAACATTGATATATAGCAGGAATTTTTCAATAGATTACGTAAAGTGTTCACTTGAACTCAAAAAAATAATAATAATAAAAATATACATTAGAAAACAAATACTATTTTAAAAAGTAGGACAGTATTTTATTAATTAAAGTAATCATTTTCCAAAGTTGAAAGCGTGAGTCAATTGAAGCTAGACCACCATCGAAAACCTGGAAACACTATTATGGGACTCTTCAGTGGCAGTGCGCATCAACGATCCCGCCTCGCGATCGAGATTCGAACTCAGGACCTACCAGTCTCGAGCCATAGGCCTTAACTGATAGATCACTGAGCTGGCCGGCATCCAACAGTGTTAATCTCTAACCTCAACCGATCGACGAATTATGAGCGACCATTCACCAATTGCCTTCAGTGAGTTGTTATCTCACAACAGACGTGGTTGAACTCCATAATAGGACGAAACGGCCGTCAAGTGTTTCCAGGTTTTCGATGGTGGTCTAGTTTCAATTGACTCATGATTTCAACTTTGAAAAATACTGAAATCTCCACAAATCCCCTTCGGATCATAATCATTTTCCATTCATTAAGAGTAAGATTTTGAATGTCATTCTTCTCCTGATTCCAGTCTACACAACCTAATCCCAATATCATAAATCTTTATCTGAAAAACCTCTGGTTCAGTGTCAAATCCAACAATCTATACTAGTTTAACAATTTATTACTGTTAAAAGATGTATAATTCAATAACTCATGTATTCGGGATAGTTCATAGTTCGTCTAGTTACCGTTTTAGAACAGCACCTTACTGAAAACCGTTAGAAGAATGAATCATTAGATCATTTTTTTCAGGGGGGTTTAAATGTACTAAACATTTTTCAAACATAAAAATTATAAATTCGATCACCTATGTTTACGGAGTATTAAAAAAGGTACTTCTATACGTTATCGAACTAACATTAACTGGCTGTCCACTTTCACCTTAGCAATTATTTTATCAGTAAACGTTATTTTATATACAATTAGCATTTAAACAACTTTTTTTTTTCTCTGGATAACTCCATCTTATGATCTATATTACTTTAAATTGAAATATTGAACATTTTTGCGGTACATTTCATGTGACGTAAAATGTTTCTTTTCTTCAAAAGAAAACATTTAAACTAAATGATTAATAAATGATGTTCAATTGAAGGAATTTTCTTAAAAAAAAAACAAAACAAATTTAATAAACTAGGATGTTTAAATTGAATTTAGTAGTTGCTATGGCATACTGTTAATTAGTGATCAATTTTTTAAGTAGTTTTTTTTTTGTTAGAAAACTAAAAACTTAAAAATTGTTGAAGTCTGTTAGTGATATGAACAGTTACAAAACTGGGAAAAAAATAAAGGAAATTAAAATTTTAGTTGTCATGTTAATCCTAGGACAATCGAATGTATTGAAGCAAAGATTACAGACTATCTTAGTTGATTCTGAAAACCATACAATGAACAGTTAATTTGTAAATTAACAACCAATAGTCTCGATCTTCACTGTTTCTTCTCTAATTCTATTGTTCATGCATTTTCCAAACGATTGCGCTTCATTTCAGTTCTTTCCTTATCGCTCTTCTGCCAAAATACATTCTATGTCTGACCAACACCACATACTACTTATATAGATATAAGTAGACCATACCACACTGATACTTAGCAATTATTATGTTGGAACTGTAGAGTTACACTTTTTCCCATTTACTGTTATCGTTAAAAATAATTGACTTAATTAGTCTCGAGTTTGTTGACTTCAAAAGTTGGTGTTTCGGATAAGATATTTATGCATATGCATATAAAACAGTTTGAATGAGCTGTCAGTTCAAAATATTTCATAAACGTGTTCTCTGTTCTTTCACTCTCACACACACACACACACACTCTCTCTATTGAATTGTATCTTATTAAGTGATTGAATGATTAATGGTAAATCTACTTAGTATTTAAGTATATTTTAACCTTTGTTACTATGACCTAAAAATCATAGTTAGGTACTGCACACAAGTTTTTTGAGAAACATATATAACATTCATTCAAATGTCTAATGTGAATTAATTTATGACAACGATACTGATCATCATTTAATGGTAAACAATAATTTTAAAAAACAACATGTAATGATTGTGAGCTTGTTCATTTCATGATGATTACATAATCTATGTAATTGTTTAGCTGATGAGTTCGAATGAGTATTATTTATAGAGAAAAAACATTGAATAGTCATTATAAGCAAAGATGGGTGACGACTAGAATCCGAGTCCAGTTTGACATGCGTTTCATCCTATATTGGGACTCGTCAGCTGGATGTACCTTCATCTCAGGGTTGATGTTCACACTGAGACTCCAATCCAGTATCGTTCGCTTCAGACGCTATCGCCTTATAGCCACATGGTTGTCCAGTGGACTCAGGACTCAGAAGCTAAGTGGACAATGCGATGACGTTTGTAAGCGAACTGTACGGTGTTCGAGTCCCGGAGTGAACACCAACTTTGAGATGAAGGTACATTCAACTGACGAGTAGTAATATATGATATAAAGGGAATTTTGAATTTCACGGCTAGCCAATATTCATCTTTGCTTATAATACTTGTGACTTAAGGCAATATAGACAGTCAGTCAGTCAGTCAGCTACAACGTAGGACCAGGCACATATATGCATCAGTCCAAGTTACCATACCCGTTAGCACAACAAGATGAACACCAAATTCATAGAAGTAGTTAATTTAGTGGTGGTAGTATATAAAAGAAGTATTGTATATAAGGATATAGTACAGGAAGAAATAAAAGATATAAAGCAATTTTAATCTCAAGGTTTAAGGGAAGATAAAGAGTGTATACACCTACGCCATCGTGATCGATTCTGAGCCATGTCACCTAGAGTCTCCAACCATTGGTTACGATAGTCACGCGGACCCCAACCAGGTATTCTGCATCTACCAACATGGCTCAGACTAAAAGTTAGTAACTTCAAGTACTGACGCCATGTTTTGGTTTTGCCGCCCCTGACTCTCTTCCTACCATCCCCAATACTAGTCAGCATAGCGCGTCGTGGTAATCAATGTTCAGGCATACGTAACACATGGCCTAACCATCTCAGTCGATGAAGATTCATCACCTCATCAACTGATTTACCATCACGTCAAGGTAGCATCAACGGTTGGAATTCATAATCAATCTCCTTCTTCATATACACAGTATGCACAGTATATTAATAAATGACTAATCATCACAGTCCTAAACATCAATGGAAAGATTCAAATAAACAATATCAAATGAATTGATACAGTTATATTCAATGAAATGAAATAGAAAAAAAATTATTCAATGAAAACAATTACCTTTCCCTTTCTTATTCAACCAACGTTGATGAAATAACATTGAATTAATTAAATTAACTAATTGATTATGTATATTTTCATCATCTGTTTGAATTTCTTTTTCATTCATTAATGGTAGTTGTAAAACATTCATTGAAAATTTAACGGAAAAAAAACACACAACTTGATTCACTGTTTGAATATCTCACCGTTAAAAAAAAAGGAGAGAAACGAGGTTGATTAAAACAAATTTGAGAATGATATATCTATGTGAGATCAGTAATATATATATATATACTACTGATTAAGTCTACTGATTATAAAATGTTTTTTTTTTGTCAATTTATTGTTTTCATCTCATTTATATACTAATTGAATGTAGTGTCATCATATTGATAGTCTAATGAAATTTCCTTTTTTTTTTTTTAAATAATTCTAGAATGAATCATCCATAGTTTCATAATGAAAAGTTGTGATTATTCTTTTTGGTTGCTATGCCTTTTTCTTCTTTTTTTTTAATTTTTTTTAATTCTAAAATCTGATTGATTGGTCAATTAGATGAAGTGAATCAAATAGAAATTAGCAAATCATACTTTAAGAATAATTTTTTTTCTTTTGTTATTGTGGTGGTGGTGGTGGTGGTGGTGGAAGATAATAACCAGTACATAAGTTTGTTTATTGTTTCTATGTAAATGAATAATTTAAAGATCAATCACATATATACACTGCATATAATGAAATAACAATCAAAAAATGTTCATATTGTATGATTGTATTTCAAGTCATGTATATTTATAACTGTAATTGAACAATAGCTGTTAGCAATCATTCATACTTCAAAAGGTTTCATCAATATTCATATATATATGAACTGGCACTAACAGTGAAATCTAGAGGATATATACTTCTTTCAATTTATTACTCATTAGATGGATGTATAAACATTCTAGTGTTGATGTTAAAAATGAAGACTCGAATCCCCAGTACCTATTATTTCATAACATTAATTTTGGTTATTCATTAAGTGACTAAATTCAAATGAATACTAACTTATTCAATGTACATGTTAATGTAAACCTTTACAAATAATTTCATTTTATATTAAGAATAATCTTATGTTTTTGAGATGATGATGATCATGATCATGATGATGTTGATGTTGATAAATTTCTATCATTTGGAAATAATCTCATTTTGAGATAACAGTAATTGGTGATATATTCATTGAACATTTTAGGTGTATCTCCTAGGAGTCAGAAATAGTATTGATTATTGGATACTGAAACTAGAATGGTTATTCTATCTGTAGGTGTATGGCTTTTGGTAATTGACCGATTAATGTTAACTTTACGCCTGTAAACCCCAAAAGATCATAGGTTTCCGACCAGAATTCCCCAACCCATTCTGTTTTGAGCATTCCTTTCTAGTTCTATTAATTTTTTGTTTATTCTCCTCATATCTGTCTACATTTCTCGGTGTAATGTATTCTTTGGTATTCCTCTTCTCTTTTAGCCTTTGGGATCCCAAGTGAGGGCTTGCCTTGTGAGTTGTCTTACTAATAGAACGCGTTTGATTATAATGACATATTCTCAGCATAAATATAAAATGTTGCAATGAATCCCAGTTTACTATCCATTTTACAAGACAGTATCCATAATAAATTTTTAAAATGTTTTTAATCATTTGTTAGGTATTATTTAACCTCATCCTGGAACATCAGTTGACAAAAAGTTTGCTCATATGATGATATCTTTTTTTCCATCGTCTTACACATATGTTCACTGTATAAATCCTGAAGAATTCACCGTTTGTTTTTCTTGAGGACATACAATAAGAAAATTATATTAACCATTTCAATGTCGCAATATTAATCGAATAGTAATTTTCTTTGTGATAAGTTCGAAACTCTTTTAAAAAGTACGTCTGTACAATAGATGATTAGTATTGAAGTAAATGCAACTAGTGTGTATCATGTACTATATAATGATTTGATTACATGGAATAGACATTAAGATGTTATTACATAATCCAGTAAGTTTACTAAGGAAGGGAACAATTAGGTTCAATCTTTTAATAACTAAAAAAATATAATCTTTAATAATAACTCCTAAAATCATCAACATATGAGCTCGTAGTACAAGTTTTCGTATAAATACAATGATTCAATTACTGTTTAAAAGCAGTGTTATATCGATTGAGTACGTGCCCTCTTTTATATATGAGTAATAAGACCGCCAATTGAATAGTAGTGATTTATCGATTGGATCAATAATATACCAAAGCCGTATAAGCAGTCTAGAGTACTTATCAGTCCTGCTTTTTGACTAGCCCAGACAGTTAAGTCCAGAACATCAATAATAGCATCTGCAATATCAATCATTATTCTCAAACATACTGGGTTTATATACCAAACAAACTGACCACATCGTACCATAAATTTAGAAACAACATTTGTACAAGATTTAGCCAAATGTGTCTGTGAATAGTGGGAACAGTAATTAATGGACTAGGGATAACTCAAGGATGGTAAATCGTACAGTAATAGTCTAAGGGTCAAAATAAAGCTAATAATCGGAAGAACACGAATACGATTAGTTTAGTTACTTAACAATTATACAATAGGAAATATAAATATCATATTGCTTCATAAACAGTCCTCAAAAGTTACCATTCATAATTCTCCACGGGATACAAGAAGCGGTTTCTCAATAAAAATTAAAACTGAGGCTACATTTCAATTGTCAAAAAATACAATACCTTAAATGATTAATAAATTTATTGATTCACAATGTTAACATCTCACGTAATATCAAAATGACATTGAAGTTGTATTTCTATATTCGCCTAATAATGATCAAATGATTTAATAAAATGGTGAACTATTTAATGATTGACTTTTCAAATCTCATTCTCAAAGAAAATACCTCCAAACAAATTGGTTTTTAAGAAAATTTTGTAATTTATTGTACAGTTTTCGGTATAGACTATCTTGAAGAGGTCAATATTTTTTAGGGTACTTAGGTGAAGTATGATTTTAGTGTACAGAACTTTCTTTAATAACCTTCCATTAAAAAGATTCATCTTTAGGGAATATATTTAATTAATTCACTCCAGAGCTATGCGAAATAACTATCTTACATCTGTGATTTAGAAAGAATATCAATCCATTTTAAAACAGAAGGGGTTTTGTGGATATTTCAATATTTTCATAGTTGAAATCATGAGTCAATTGAAAGTAGAACACTATAGAAAACCTGGAAATACTGAACGTCCGTTTCGTCTTATTATGGGGCTCCTCAGCACTACGCATCCACGATCCCGCACTCGCGAGATTCGAACCGAGGACCTATCAGTTTCGAGCCAGAGCCCTTAATCGATAGATCACTTAGCCGGCTGGCATCCAACGGTGTTAATGTCTAACTTCAACTGATCCACGAAGTTGAGCAACCCTTCACCAATTGTCTTCAGTGAGTTGATATCTCTACAACAGATGTGGTTTTGACCTCCACTGGTCACTGCTTCTCACTAGAACTCAAGTAAACATTCCTTACAGCCAGTCACTAGTAAGCATATGATTATAGATCAGAAGGGGTTTTGTGGATATTTCAATATTTTCATAGTTGAAATCATGGGCCAATTGAAGCTAGACCACAGTCCAGTGCTTTCACGTTTTCAATGGTGGTCTAGCTTCAATTGACTGATGATTTCAACTATGAAAATATTTTAAAACAGTTTAACAAATTTGAAGTGATCTTATTTGGTACGTAGTTATAACAATGATACATAACTCATTTATTCAGAAATTATTTTAATACTTTGTTGGAACATTTTAAAAACATTATTCTTCAATTCTGTATTTTGATTGGTTAATATTTTAAGCCAATCATATCCATCCTTGCGAGAATATGAGTCATGAGAAAGTGAATTCACAGACACTCAGCTGATCCGTCAATTTATAAACGATTAATTAATTAATTAATCAATAATGACGTTTGAGACTATTTTTTTTTTGTAAAAGATTAGTCCTATTTAGTGTGCAGGGACTTTATCTGTTGGGAATGAATAAGGAAATCTAATTCTAGGGATTTAGATTTCCTGAGAAAAAAAAGATGATGGATAAGTTTTCTATCATAAATGGGTTATTTGTATGAGATAAATTTATTGAATTCCCTGTAAATTTAAATATTACTGTAATATTAAATATGGTGTCGTCTAATCGTTTACAGCCCCCAAATACCCTGGTATAACCGAGAATGGGGAGAGTCTGTTCTCCCTCTCGAAATACTTTCACTTGACCATGCGTAATATAGCTTTTGCAACGGAAGTCCTACTCTTTGCCTTCTCGTGTGCACTATTGTTTACGAAATTGAGAGGACAAAAAGCGAATGTCCGGCGCTTTAACCGGGTTGGTGGACACGGCGCGTCCACCTCTGGCAGTATGAAAACCCTGATTCCAAACCAATGGTGCACATGGGCTCCAGTATCCGGAGAGAACAAATGGCGTATGAACCAATCGTTGGTCATCGACTACCATGGGACTGCATCTCCTCACGATGCTCCACTGTCTTTAGGTCGAAGGCTCGAGTTGTGGTCGCCTAAGGAAACCGCCTGCTTCAGTTTGGGCACCCGGGCAGTATCACAGCCCTCACACAAATCTCATTTGATTTGTGAGGCGCATATGTATCTGGTGCTTCCTTGTACCAACATTTATGTGTTTAAATAAATAATAATTCTGTTTAATATCTTAAAATATGACACTACGTAACTCGTGTTTGGGTGCCCATTCAGGTTTTATTTTTTCCTACGATTGTGAATATGTTTCTTTACTGACATTTATTCATTATAAAAGTATAAGTCTGATAACAATTAATCACATCTTTGTTTGTTTGTTTCTTTCTTATCAATCTAGATAAATTAAGAGGTTTTACAAAAGAGTTTAGAATTTGTTGTTATAATCAATAAATGACTGATCACATTTATCATAAAGATATCAACAAAACTGTTGTGTTTAAATGTTTTAAAAAAAAATGAGCATCGTGAATAAGAGATGCAGTCCCATGGTAGTCGGTGACCAAAGATTGATTGATACGCCATTTGTTCCCTCAGGATATTGGAGTCCATGTTCACCATTGATTTGAAATTAGGGTTTTCCAACTCCCCTAGGTGGACTCGCCGTGTCCACTAGCCCTGTTAAAGCGCCGAACATTCGCTTTTCATCTTCTCAATTTTGTAAACAATATCCATACCACGAGAAGGCAGTGAGTAGGACTTCCCTGGCAGAGGCTATATATTCGCTGGCCATGTGAGAGCATTTGGAGAGGGAGAGTTGACTCTTCCCACTGTCGGCCGTACCAGGGCATTTGGGGGCTAAGATATTCACAGATAAATTAACTGAATATTTTAGTAGGATATGACCACTCAATTAAATCAAATAATAATAATATTAGAATTATTTATAAAGTTCTCAAAAATCTATCAAGACTTTTATTTTCAACTTTTAAGTACATCCTAAAGTTGTCGTTATCTGTAAGGGAAATTTTGAATTCAGTAGTGCACATCCACGATCCCGCCCCACTAAGGAGTCCCGTACTATGATGAAACGGCCATCCGGTGCTTATAGGTTTTCCATGATGGTCTAGCTTCAATTGACTCATGAATTCAACTAATAGATTTTTATATCATTTTACTTCTTTCTCATATCCAACCAATTTTTAAATGATGAAGATTTCTAGCTGAAGTCGAAGTTTTTTTGGTTATGTTTAATCAATTGAGGTTAATGTCTTAATTGTGAAACTTTCATTCTTATTCTGAGTAACATAATCGGTGCCTACTTTCGTTCACAACACTGAATTTATCAACACAATAATGAAGAAACCTTAAACTCAGTGTGCATATTCAATAAGTAAACGATTTATGTGAAGAGAAAAAATCAACAGTAGAGCGTAGGACGAAAGTGTTTTTAGAATTATCAACAACTAGAAAGAAGAAAACATGATCAAAGGGATATTGTAGTGAACGAGAACACAAATGAGGAAAGTCAAATGTATTCGAACACAAAATTACAAAACATCTTAGTAAAATCTGAAAACCATTCATTAAATACATAAACTCTGAGATGCAGGTACATCCAGCTGACGAGTCTCAACATAGGATGTAAAGTGCATTTTGGATTCCACGGCTAACCAATATCCATCTTTGCTTATAATACTTGTGACTTAAGGCAATTTACACAGTATGGACATATGTTAATAAATGACTGATCATCACAGTCGTAAACATCAATGGAAAGATTCAAGTAAGCATTACCAAGTGAACATTAAATACTTGCAATGGGGTGAAGTTGAAATTTACTTAGTATTGCTGATGAGTCCCAAATAGGACGGAACATGTGTCCTGGATTCCACTGCCAGCCATTATTCATCTTTGCTTACCAAGTTGTCATGATGTTTTCTTAAGGTTAAATAAAAACTTGATTAACCGATCAGTTTTTATCCTTTTCTTTTTTTATTTCCTTGCTCTTAATGAAATACTGTAATAACTAACAGTTTTTTCCTACAATTATAATGCAAAGTAACCGAAAGTGATTTTACCAGACAAAATAAAATTATTATTTTTTCAGAAGGGGTTTTGTGTAGTTTTAGTATATTCATAGTTGAAAGCGTGAGTTAATTGAAGCACGAGACTGGTAGGTCCTGGGTTTAAATCTCGCGAGGCGAGGTCGTGGATGCACAACGTTGAGGAGTCCCACAATAGGACGAAACAGCCGTTCAGTTTTTCCCTGGTGGTTCAGCTTCAATTGACTAACGCTTTCAACTATTATTTTTTCATTCAAAGAGAATAATTAATCAGTGTCTACTTAGCAAATGAATTTAGATTGAATTCTAATTCGTAAATTTTTTATGATAGAAAATAATTTCTTGAAAGAAGTAAAGTTAGTGGTACGTACATGAGGTTTTTCTGTATATTTTATATGTCACTATCAAATATCCTATAAATTCAGTTTCTTTGTGGTGTGTTCTACTTATGTCGACATAAGTAGTATATACTGCTAGTCAGGAATAGAATATCTGGCAGTAGAAGATGGGAAAGATCGAGGAGGGAAGAACAGGAACAGAAAGTAATTGGTATGAAAATGCAGAAATAATGAAGTCTGAGACCATTAACAAATATTTGCCCCCAAATGCCTTGGTACGGCCGACAGTGGGGAGAGTCAACTCTCCCTCTACAAATGCTCTCACATGGCCACACGTATATAGCCTCTGCCAGGGAAGTCCTACTCATTGCCTTCTCATGGCATGAGTTTGCCTACAAAACCATTGAAAATCTGAGAAAATTCAATCATTGTTACTTCACAATACTGGAGGTTTCATTAGTGTCCACTCACTACCACAACAGAAATCAAATTCATGATTTTCAAACCTTATGAGAAAAAAACAAACTTGGAACCTATGAACCAGTGATTAACTATTCAATTCTCCGATATCCTACTAACTACAGATTATAACTAAATCTTCAGGAATCATTTAGGAAGTTGGTCAGTAGCCAAGAAATAAGGTGGCGTTCAACTGAAAAACTTTATTAAATAAGATTCCTTTATGTAATCACCTATTGGTACAAGTTTAGAACATGAAGAATGTTTTAATCAACTTGAATGAAGTATACAAAACACACAATTAAAATGTTAGACTGGTGTAGAATCGATTATAGTTCTTATTAAAAAAAATTTACTATGTCCATTGTTCAATAACTTCCATGTAAGAAAGATGTTTTATCAAGTACATGTTATTGTGAATTTTATTTCCTGCTTTAGATTGACCGATTTAAACAAACATTATTTGTAACTGATATCATAATTTAATCGATAAATGTACCCCCATCAAGATACTACATTGGATATAGATGATATCAATACTACATTATTAACCAACAAATTAGATTTAACGTCACTTTATTTGATACTTGAATGAAATGAATACTAGTCAGATAACTTTCATGTAGCATAACATGATATTGATATTTAGGAAAATTTATAACAATGTGTAAATGTCTCGATTCTATAAGAATTAAATTATAATCCAATTAAATTCATTTAGTAATGAACATCAACAGATCTGAGATGCAGGTACATCCAGCTGACGAGTCCCAAATAGGACGAAACGCGCGTCCTGGATTCCAATGCTAACCACTATCCATCTTTGCTTACTATAATCCAATTAGCTTGAAATTAATTTGATTGCTAGTGGTACTGAATGAAATTGGTGAAAGTCTTCATTGAAATATAGATTTCGTTGAATTGCAGAATGTTCCATGATTCTGAAAGATCACACTTCCTACTTACTTAAACGTAACATGTAATATAATACAAAATATTTTCACACCATTCAAGCTACAGTAGACTATAGAATTGAATGAAAACCTGAAAATTTATATTCTCCAAGTTATTGCTCCAAAATCGATGACATATGTACTTAATTGTTCTGCTAGTTTATATTTCCATCCCATTGTTAAACAGCCATTAGAGACTCTTTCCTTAAAGGAAATATCATTATTAATTTATCAATGAGTAATCACCAACATCAAATTTGACCAAATTTTACAGATCAGGTTTCAATGTGAAGCTTGATAATCAACAATTGTGAAGATTTTTATTCTACAGAAAGTTAGTCACAACTGAAATAATAGCTCAGTGATATTATTTCAGTTAAGTTAATAAGAGATTGAATCTAACAAAGAACATAAACTTTAATATTCTAGATACTTCGTATTAATGAGTGCCAACTAACATGAAACTCATATTCAAAATATCCTAGCGATGGCATCCAACTATCTAATATTAAGACAAAATGTATACAAAATACTTAATACTCAATTATTCACTTCTTTTAATTTAACATTTCAATAAATGATCCAGTTGATCTGAAATGATCACTTTGGTAATCGTACAACAAAAAAAGTTTTATTTCAATAAATTACATAGTAAAATAAAAAAGACCAAAACAATCTAAGGGATTTCCGAATGGATTGTCGCCTGAATTTAAAATAATCATGATCATCATCATCATCATCATCATCCAAATCATCATCATCATCATCATCATCATCATCATCATCATCATCATCACATCATCATCATCATCATCATCATCATCATCATCATCATCATCATCATCATCATCATCATCATCATCATCATCATCATCATCATCATCATCATCATCATCATCATCATCATCATCATCCAAATCATCATCATCATCCAAATCATCATCATCATCATCATCATCATCATCATCATCATCATCATCATCATCATCATCATCATCATCATCATCATCATCATCATCATCATCATCATCATCATCATCATCATCATCATCCAAATCATCATCATCATCATCATCATCATCATCATCATCATCATCATCATCATCATCATCATCATCCAAATCATCATCATCATCATCATCATCATCATCATCATCATCATCATCATCATCATCATCATCATCCAAATCATCATCATCATCATCATCATCATCATCATCACCACCACCACATCGAATCATGTATCCAAGTTATTAAAACAAAAAAAGTCATGGTGTTTAATCAAATTATTAATTCAATTGAATATAAGATACATACAGTGTGTGTGTGTCTGTATGTGTGTGTATGTATATGATCTAATTAACAAAACGAAAAAAAAACTTATCAAGAAAAAAAAATGAAAAAAAAGAATTAATTTGCACAACAGTTTACTTATAATAATTCAATATCAAAGTAAAATTGATGTGAACCGCGAAACAAGAAGCCTTAAAAAATTACGGAAGCTATTTTTGGGGACGTTAATTCGTTTCATTCAAACCTTGTATAATAGTAATATTTACTTTTGCCCCTAGCCTATTCTACAGATCATAAGCTTTCGTTTGATGTATGATTCATTGCCATAGCATTTTCTGTTCTAAAGCTATTGTCATTTAGACGTAATCTTTTGTACTTTATTTTCTACTACAATCCCACAGTTTTGAACATATTTGTATTTTCCTAATTATTGTACGTCGTGGTCAGGTTATTCATCTATTTTCATGCTAATCTGAATTGGGAATTGGGAATTCGAGTGCTAGATCGGGGTTGGAATAAAGTGATTATTGTTCCAGCTGTCTTTGTCTTCTCTCTTTCTCTCTCGCGTGCTTGCCAGTCAATCAGGGATAGAATAGTTTTCGTCTCTTTACCCCCACTTCGAACTCACGCATATTTGGCCTCAAGGTTAAGCCAGTCAGTCTATCGGGTCAAGGTCTTAATTTACATTAGATAAGTCATACTCGGCACTAAAATTGATAGACAGATCCAAGGACGTAACAAAAATAATGCAAATAAGAAGTATATCAACATGATTATGTTAATGATCATAGGTGGATATATTTAGTGAAAAATGAAAATTTTCAAAATTATTACATAATAATGAATTCATTTGATATTGTTTACTTGAAGTTTCATCTAATTTCTACAAGCGAGTGAGTATCAGAACTTAGTAGCTAAGTGGATAATGCGATGCCGTTTGAAGCGAATAGTACTGAGTTCAAGTCTCAGAGTGAATATCAACTCTGAGATGTAGGTACATCCAGCTGATGAGTCCCAAATAGAACGAAACGTGCGTCCTGGATTCCACTGCCAGCCATTATCTTATTTTGCTTAATAAACGATGAGTAAATAAATTTGATTTTTCTTAAAATTCAGTTATAACCATATATATATATTGATGACATTTTATATTATTTTACAGTTAACTTATATTCTACCGCTTCATGATTAAGATCATGAACCTATTCATCAAGTTAACACAGCCAATGAAAGATAGCCAATACAAGAAACACTAAACAGTTGTTTTGTTTTAATATATAAGTTCGAAATTATTTTCAAGTTTTTTTTGAATAAATAAGCAATAAACTAATTTATGGTAAGCAGAGATGGATAAAGGCTAGCAGTGGAATCCAGATTGACACGCGTTTCGTCCTATTTGGGACTCGTCAGCTAGGTGTGCCTACATCTCAGAGTTGATGTTCACTCTGGGACTCGAACCCAGTACCCTCTCTTCAAATGCCATCGCGTTATCCACTCGGCCACTCAGTCCCGATAGCCACTTGCCTGTGCGATGGGGTGAAGTTTAAATTCACTTAGTATTGTTTGTTTGAATCTTCCCGTCGATTTGTTAGGACTGCAACTGGTCAGTCTCTAATTGGCATATGTGCATACTTTGCATATTGCCTCGATATAGCCTTAATTCACAAGCATTGTAAGTAAAGATAGATGGTGACTAGTAGTGGAATCCAGTTTGACGCACGTTTCGTCCTATTTGGGACTCGTCAGCTGGATGTCTCTGCATCTCAGAGTTGATGTTTGTTTATTTTCTTTACTACTTATCATTTAGGCTTGCCCAATTTATAATTTTCGAAATTGTAATAAGATGTTTTCATTTAATTAGTCTACATAATTTTACGGTTTATAAATCATACTAATCAAATTATTGCAGAGGTGTTCTGTTTCTTCTTCTATGTAGTTATTGTGAATGAAAGAAATAGTGGTGGATCAACAGAATTTTGTGATTTACAGTTGTTATGTTGTATCTTTGTGTTATTTGATAGCGTGAAGTGTAATGGTCTGATTGACGTGATGCCGTGATTCAACTAAGTGAATGTATAAAAAAGGTTAAAGTTATAGAAAGTTTCATAAAAAAACGAAGGCAAAGTTAGTTAACAAGACTAGATTGGTAATAAAAGAATGAATAGTTCTCAATAGAAATAGTGAAAGACATCTAGTTGGAGACTTATGGATAAACACTGACGAAGAGCTTCACATTAAGACGAAACGGACGTTCAGTACTTCCAAGTTTTCCACGGTGGTCTAGCTTCATTTGATTCATGAACTCAACTATTAAATTACATATAATTTCAATAATTCCGAAACTATATTTCTCCTGTTCTTCCTAAAATGTCGATTTTAATCAATTCATAGTAGAACTTAATTACTTCATTGAACAACAGTATTCTTCATTTTCAACTTATGCTTCAAATCGATAATAATATGAATAATAACTATTCAGTCTAACTATAACATAACGACGACCATTAGCGATATTTAAATGACCCTGTGAAAGTAGGTATATCTTCAAATAATCAGTGCGTGATTGATATAAAGGAATATTTAGTCACGTAAGACGGTATGAAGATATCGTAAAATAAATAATACCAATTCAATAAGCCTAATCATAACAATAATCTTATTATAATAATAATGCAGGAACACATAAATTGTCTGACAATCAAACTTACCAACTGGTGTGTATGTCGGAACGATCTTACATCTAAACACTTCGAACACTAAGTAGATTTGTTATAGAAGAACAAATAAATTTCATAAAAACAATGCTGACAGAAAGCGGAAAACTACCAAAAACAAAAAATTGATTTAATATCACCCAAGGAGGAACTAAAATCCATACTCACCAAAAAAATGACGATTAACAGGAATATTGGATTCGAAGATTGCAGAAATTTTAAAAAAGCACACCAAAAACTGATTTCATTGAATCACTTTGATAGTGACCTACAGTAAACCTGAGATTATCAATAATATAAATACTAAGCTGTGAACTTAGATCAATTCAAGACCTAATGATTACACAGTTTATTGCTGAAGACTTCAATAAATTGACCATGTTTAAAAAACTACTCAGCATAGACGAAGTAAAGCAGAAGCGGATGTATTATAAGAAAATAACATGAAAAATACAAACGTCATGAGAATAGACCAATTACTCGTCGTTCTCACAATCTTCATATTCACCAAGTGTTTTCAACAAATTAATAACGACTAAGATAATAACTAATTACAGTACAAGTCACATACAACACTAAAATCTAACTAATATTTCGACGAGTGATTACACAATTCAGTAAATTAGTTACATTTGTCAATTATGTCACTCTAATCTTCTGATGTTGCGAATGGTGATCAGACACACTAGATGGTAGATAGTACATTTTAAAATTGAAAAACCTACACATCACTGTACAATAAAAATAATCAATGAATAAAATTCTTGATCACATAAGATGTTGATAAATCATCCCATCCGTCAATTAATCACTTGTCACCTCACAACAACATCATTGTGATATTCTGAATGTCCATTCAATTCACTATCTTATGTCGACGATTCCAAGAGTATTCCTCGTCAAATTTTGTAAAACACTGAAGACCAATGAAAATTGTGAATCCAATCATCATCAAATAGAAACTTCTCAAAAATACATAGAAAATGTTGATGAAATATCTGTCACATTTTGATTGGATAATAACTTATTCAGTTTCTATATTTAGTATATAACAACAAGTCTCTACAAAAACCATTATCACACAGAACTCTATAAACATACTCGATTACTAGTACATAATTAGTTGTAAAGTGGAATTATTGCATTTCACGATTTGCCCCCTTTTAATTCAACTTGAAGTATACAATAAGTCTGAGGTGATATGAAGTGGTTAGAAAGTCAATATTGAATGTTCCATTAATGGTGGACATATCACTTTGATCATTTGATTACTTGATAACAATTCGACGAGAATTTCATGTTTCATAAAACGACGAGAAAGAATACATCATTATCAACAACATTAGCAACATCATTGAAGTCAGAACACGTATTAATCGAATCCGATATGTGAACTGCTCATTTATGAATAAGTCAAACAATCAATTCACGATAGACATTATGACAAGTATTTGAATTAGAAATGATCTAAGTGTATATCACAACAAATACCTATATCCTTGATCTTAATTAAAATACACAGAATAAAATGATGATAGTTGAAATCCTAATTACAGAGACAAGAATCAGAGTAAAGAATTCTAGCTCATAAACTACTATTAGTTGTTATAGAATTTCGTTTTGAAAATATGCAAAGAAATCTATTCCAGTCATTTCAACATTGTATAGTTTATACTAGACACCTTTTACAAAACCACATTCCCTTTTCTTAATATTATACATAACAAGGAATACAAAGTTTATTGGAAATATTAGTGCGTCATTGACATTCAAAATTAATCAAAGTTATATGTCTGGAAAATGTTTTCTGGCACCCGATGTTGTACGTCATTTCATCCTACAACTCATCGACAATCTAATACAATCAGACATTAACAATTATGCCAAAAAGACAACATTACATAGTTTGTATAGGTTGTAAATTGTAAATCAAAATGCAATGACTGATGCATAGATTCATGCATGTAGAACACTCAATTTTATCCATATCAATCAAATTGAATTATGACATAACTCATTGTAACTTTTGTGATTGTATAACGCCATATTTGTGATGTTTTTTTTTGAATTTTTCTATAATTTTATGTGTCAGGAAATTAGGCCAAACGTTTTAATGATTCAATGACCATGTATATAACATTAGAATATTTTTTTTCATTTCACACGTAGTTGGTTACAACTGTAATGGGTTCATTTATATTGTGTATCTTAAGCACATGATTTGTTCAGACGTAATGAGTTACAACTGTAATGGGTTCCATGATGTTGTGTATCTTAAGCACATGATTTGTTCAGACGTAATGAGTTACAACTGTAATGGGTTCCATGATGTTGTGTATCTTAAGCACATGATTTGTTCAGACGTAATGAGTTACAACTGTAATGGGTTCCATGATGTTGTGTATCTTAAGCACATGATTTGTTCAGACGTAATGAGTTACAACTATAATGGGTTCCATGATGTTGTGTATCTTAGGGACATGACTTGTTCAGACGTAATGAGTTACAACTATAATGGGTTCCATGGTGTCGTGTATCTTAAGCACATGACTTGTTCAGACGTAATGAGTTACAACTGTAATGGGTTCCATGATGTTGTGTATCTTAAGCACATGATTTGTTCAGACGTAATGAGTTACAACTATAATGGGTTCCATGATGTTGTGTATCTTAAGCACATGATTTGTTCAGACGTAATGAGTTACAACTGTAATGGGTTCCATGATGTTGTGTATCTTAAGCACATGATTTGTTCAGACGTAATGAGTTACAACTGTAATGGGTTCCATGATGTTGTGTATCTTAAGCACATGATTTGTTCAGACGTAATGAGTTACAACTGTAATGGGTTCCATGATGTTGTGTATCTTAGGGACATGACTTGTTCAGACGTAATGAGTTACAACTGTAATGGGTTCCATGATGTTGTGTATCTTAAGCACATGATTTGTTCAGACGTAATGAGTTACAACTGTAATGGGTTCCATGATGTTGTGTATCTTAAGCACATGATTTGTTCAGACGTAATGAGTTACAACTGTAATGGGTTCCATGATGTTGTGTATCTTAAGCACATGATTTGTTCAGACGTAATGAGTTACAACTGTAATGGGTTCCATGATGTTGTGTATCTTAGGGACATGACTTGTTCAGACGTAATGAGTTACAACTGTAATGGGTTCCATGATGTTGTGTATCTTAAGCACATGACTTGTTCAGACGTAATGAGTTACAACTGTAATGGGTTCCATGATGTTGTGTATCTTAAGCACATGATTTGTTCAGACGTAATGAGTTACAACTGTAATGGGTTCCATGATGTTGTGTATCTTAAGCACATGATTTGTTCAGACGTAATGAGTTACAACTGTAATGGGTTCCATGATGTTGTGTATCTTAAGCACATGATTTGTTCAGACGTAATGAGTTACAACTGTAATGGGTTCCATGATGTTGTGTATCTTAAGCACATGATTTGTTCAGACGTAATGAGTTACAACTATAATGGGTTCCATGATGTTGTGTATCTTAGGGACATGACTTGTTCAGACGTAATGAGTTACAACTATAATGGGTTCCATGGTGTCGTGTATCTTAAGCACATGACTTGTTCAGACGTAATGAGTTACAACTGTAATGGGTTCCATGATGTTGTGTATCTTAAGCACATGATTTGTTCAGACGTAATGAGTTACAACTGTAATGGGTTCCATGATGTTGTGTATCTTAAGCACATGATTTGTTCAGACGTAATGAGTTACAACTGTAATGGGTTCCATGATGTTGTGTATCTTAAGCACATGATTTGTTCAGACGTAATGAGTTACAACTGTAATGGGTTCCATGATGTTGTGTATCTTAAGCACATGATTTGTTCAGACGTAATGAGTTACAACTGTAATGGGTTCCATGATGTTGTGTATCTTAGGGACATGACTTGTTCAGACGTAATGAGTTACAACTATAATGGGTTCCATGATGTTGTGTATCTTAAGCACATGACTTGTTCAGACGTAATGAGTTACAACTATAATGCGTTCATTAATATTATATATCTTAAGCACATGATTTGTTCAGACGTAATGAGTTACAACTATAATGGGTTCCATGATGTTGTGTATCTTAGGGACATGACTTGTTCAGACGTAATGAGTTACAACTGTAATGGGTTCATTTATATTGTGTATCTTAAGCACATGACTTGTTCAGACGTAATGAGTTACAACTGTAATGGGTTCCATGTTGTTGTGTATCTTAAGCACATGATTTGTTCAGACGTAATGAGTTACAACTGTAATGGGTTCCATGATGTTGTGTATCTTAGGGACATGACTTGTTCAGACGTAATGAGTTACAACTATAATGGGTTCCATGATGTTGTGTATCTTAAGCACATGACTTGTTCAGACGTAATGAGTTACAACTATAATGGGTTCATTAATATTATATATCTTAAGCACATGATTTGTTCAGACGTAATGAGTTACAACTATAATGGGTTCCATGATGTTGTGTAACTTAGGGACATGACTTGTTCAGACGTAATGAGTTACAACTGTAATGGGTTCATTTATATTGTGTATCTTAAGCACATGATTTGTTCAGACGTAATGAGTTACAACTGTAATGGGTTCCATGATGTTGTGTATCTTAAGCACATGACTTGTTCAGACGTAATGAGTTACAACTGTAATGGGTTCCATGATGTTGTGTATCTTAAGCACATGACTTGTTCAGACGTAATGAGCTACAACTGTAATGGGTTCATTTATATTATATATCTTAAGCACATGACTTGTTCAGACGTAATGAGTTACAACTATAATGGGTTGCTTTATGTTGTGTATCTTAGGGACATGACATGTTAAGACGTAATGAGTTACAACTATAATGGATTCCATGATGTTGTGTATCTTAAGCACATGACTTGTTCAGACGTAATGAGCTACAACTGTAATGGGTTCATTTATATTATATATCTTAAGCACATGACTTGTTCAGACGTAATGAGTTATAACTATAATGGGTTCCATGATGTTGTGTATCTTATTGACATGACATGTTAAGACGTAATGAGTTACAACTGTAATGGGTTCCATGATGTTGTGTATCTTAAGCATATGACTTGTTCAGACGTAATGAGTTACAACTGTAATGGGTTCCATGATGTTGTGTATCTTAAGCACATGATTTGTTCAGACGTAATGAGTTACAACTGTAATGGGTTCCATGATGTTGTGTATCTTAGGGACATGACTTGTTCAGACGTAATGAGTTACAACTATAATGGGTTCCATGATGTTGTGTATCTTAAGCACATGACTTGTTCAGACGTAATGAGTTACAACTATAATGGGTTCATTAATATTATATATCTTAAGCACATGACTTGTTCAGACGTAATGAGCTACAACTGTAATGGGTTCATTTATATTATATATCTTAAGCACATGACTTGTTCAGACGTAATGAGTTACAACTATAATGGGTTCATTTATATTATATATCTTAAGCACATGACTTGTTCAGACGTAATGAGTTACAACTATAATGGGTTCCATGATGTTGTGTATCTTAGGGACATGACATGTTAAGACGTAATGAGTTACAACTGTAATGGGTTCCATGATGTTGTGTATCTTAAGCATATGACTTGTTCAGACGTAATGAGTTACAACTATAATGGGTTCATTAATATTATATATCTTAAGCACATGACTTGTTCAGACGTAATGAGCTACAACTGTAATGGGTTCATTTATATTATATATCTTAAGCACATGACTTGTTCAGACGTAATGAGTTACAACTATAATGGGTTCCTTGATGTTGTGTATCTTAAGCACATGACTTGTTCAGATGTAATGAGTTACAACTGTAATGGGTTCCATGATGTTGTATATCTTAAGCACATAACTTGTTCAGACGTAATGAGTTACAACTATAATGGGTTCATTTATATTGAGTATCTTAGTTGCATAACGTGTTTAGCATTAGATGCTTCAATTCGATTTTAGTATTCGTTTAGGGCAATCAGGAAGAAAAAAATAAATAGATATACCATCTTTCATAAAGAAATGAAATGGAATAAAATCCATTATATGTTTAAACACAGTGCATTGAAGATTCTAAATACACATTTGCATTCCAGAAATGGTTGAAAGAATACATTTACCAATGAATTTCCTCAATCATCTTCGTAGATACTATGTACCATTTAACGTCAAAGTCTGATATACTTGTTGTGAAAGGAACTCTTGATTAATGCAGCCTCGAAACAAACTTAATAATATGAAGTGTTCGTAATTTTGTAATGCTGAATAAGTTATGTACCTAAGATGCACAACATCAAGGAACCCATTATAGTTGCAACTCATTACGTCTGAACAAGTCATGTCCCTAAGATACACAACATAAAGCAACCCATTACAGTTGTAACTCATTACGTGTGAATAAGTCATGTGCCTAAGATACACAACATCAAGGAACCCATTATAGTTGTAACTCATTACGTCTGAACAAGTCATGTCCCTAAGATACACAACATCATGGAACCCATTACAGTTGTAACTCATTACGTCTGAACAAGTCATGTGCTTAAGATACACAACATCATGGAACCCATTACAGTTGTAACTCATTACGTCTGAACAAATCATGTGCTTAAGATACACAACATCATGGAATCCATTATAGTTGTAACTCATTACGTCTTAACATGTTATGTCCCTAAGATACACAACATAAAGCAACCCATTATAGTTGTAACTCATTACGTCTGAACAAGTCATGTGCTTAAGATACACAACATCATGGAACCCATTATAGTTGTAACTCATTACGTCTGAACAAGTCATGTGCTTAAGATACACAACATCATGGAACCCATTACAGTTGTAACTCATTACGTCTGAACAAATCATGTGCTTAAGATACACAACATCATGGAACCCATTACAGTTGTAACTCATTACGTCTGAACAAATCATGTGCTTAAGATACACAATATAAATGAACCCATTACAGTTGTAACCAACTACGTGTGAAATGAAAAAAAATATTCTAATGTTATATACATGGTCATTGAATCATTAAAACGTTTGGCCTAATTTCCTGACACATAAAATTATAGAAAAATTCAAAAAAAAACATCACAAATATGGCGTTATACAATCACAAAAGTTACAATGAGTTATGTCATAATTCAATTTGATTGATATGGATAAAATTGAGTGTTCTACATGCATGAATCTATGCATCAGTCATTGCATTTTGATTTACAATTTACAACCTATACAAACTATGTAATGTTGTCTTTTTGGCATAATTGTTAATGTCTGATTGTATTAGATTGTCGATGAGTTGTAGGATGAAATGACGTACAACATCGGGTGCCAGAAAACATTTTCCAGACATATAACTTTGATTAATTTTGAATGTCAATGACGCACTAATATTTCCAATAAACTTTGTATTCCTTGTTATGTATAATATTAAGAAAAGGGAATGTGGTTTTGTAAAAGGTGTCTAGTATAAACTATACAATGTTGAAATGACTGGAATAGATTTCTTTGCATATTTTCAAAACGAAATTCTATAACAACTAATAGTAGTTTATGAGCTAGAATTCTTTACTCTGATTCTTGTCTCTGTAATTAGGATTTCAACTATCATCATTTTATTCTGTGTATTTTAATTAAGATTAAGGATATAGGTATTTGTTGTGATATACACTTAGATCATTTCTAATTCAAATACTTGTCATAATGTCTATCGTGAATTGATTGTTTGACTTATTCATAAATGAGCAGTTCACATATCGGATTCGATTAATACGTGTTCTGACTTCAATGATGTTGCTAATGTTGTTGATAATGATGTATTCTTTCTCGTCGTTTTATGAAACATGAAATTCTCGTCGAATTGTTATCAAGTAATCAAATGATCAAAGTGATATGTCCACCATTAATGGAACATTCAATATTGACTTTCTAACCACTTCATATCACCTCAGACTTATTGTATACTTCAAGTTGAATTAAAAGGGGGCAAATCGTGAAATGCAATAATTCCACTTTACAACTAATTATGTACTAGTAATCGAGTATGTTTATAGAGTTCTGTGTGATAATGGTTTTTGTAGAGACTTGTTGTTATATACTAAATATAGAAACTGAATAAGTTATTATCCAATCAAAATGTGACAGATATTTCATCAACATTTTCTATGTATTTTTGAGAAGTTTCTATTTGATGATGATTGGATTCACAATTTTCATTGGTCTTCAGTGTTTTACAAAATTTGACGAGGAATACTCTTGGAATCGTCGACATAAGATAGTGAATTGAATGGACATTCAGAATATCACAATGATGTTGTTGTGAGGTGACAAGTGATTAATTGACGGATGGGATGATTTATCAACATCTTATGTGATCAAGAATTTTATTCATTGATTATTTTTATTGTACAGTGATGTGTAGGTTTTTCAATTTTAAAATGTACTATCTACCATCTAGTGTGTCTGATCACCATTCGCAACATCAGAAGATTAGAGTGACATAATTGACAAATGTAACTAATTTACTGAATTGTGTAATCACTCGTCGAAATATTAGTTAGATTTTAGTGTTGTATGTGACTTGTACTGTAATTAGTTATTATCTTAGTCGTTATTAATTTGTTGAAAACACTTGGCGAATATGAAGATTGTCAGAATGACTATTATTTTCACTAAGATTTTAGTTACTTTACCACCACCTAATTTTCAGATGCACGAATAATAACGTACGTTTTCCTAGTTTATATTTGTTTACATAATTATTCATTAACTGAACTGTATAATGCAAGCTTTTGTTTCCCTATAAACGCTTATATTGTATCATATTTCTGAAGTCGTCTTACTTTATACAAAAAGTACAATGTCTGTATATTTTTCTACGTTTTTTTTCAGGGGTGAGGTGATAAACGGAATTGTGTCGCTCCTGCATTGTTTAATAAAATATCTGCATGTGTTTGTTTATTTGTTTTGAATGATGAACAAGTGTGAGTTATCATGCATTTACGGGTATTTTACGTTTTTTCTCAAAATGTTTATTTTATCTAGAGACACTACTTAGTTGATTATAGTAGTATAAATACATATGATTTTTTTACCGGCACTTACCATCCTTATCATTGTTTTTTTCCTTCAATGGAGAACGTATTGTTTTCCTATATATAGATCTTTATGCGGAGCTTCCTGGCCTTGTTATCGACAGGACATCGAGAAATTGAAGTCCTGTATTCGGTTCTGCTTTTTATGTGAGTTTAAATCGGTGGTGACTTTCAGTGTATCGATACAAGTTTTTATTTAGCTCCATATTATTTTAAATGGTAGAAAAGCGACTTTTTGGAACTGTTTACTCATTTTTTCAATGTTCATCTCACGGAAGCTAGATTAAAAACAACAGCTTTAATATTAGTATCCTGAATTCTTTCCGGAAATTACTAGTTCTACGACGTATCATCAATATACAATTCAGATTTAATAATTAGATAAAGTGACAGAGTTGCAACAAGTTCACCATTGAACCCCTTCCTTTGGCATAGTTAATCCAAAAAATACAATATTTATACAAATAACTGGACTTCATTTACATAACAGATATATGGATTACACTTTTAACATTTCTGAAGAAAACATGAACCTCATGGAAATCTTGGATCAATTCAATAAATGTCACCCCTTAATTAAATTC